ACACAAGTGGGAGTAAGTGAGCGGTACGTGGAGAAATTCAGGAAGCCGTGTAATACCTGATTACATTACGTCACAAAATCTCACCCACGTCTACAATTATGATACATTCACGAAAACCCCAAACACTTGACAAACCCCTGCAGGACTTTAATTGCCTATTTCCTGTTTTTCTTTGATTAAGTTGGTATGACGGTTATTTTCGTCAACTAGTTGAAAAGAAGTTGAAAATATGCTTGTATTTTCTGTACATCATAACTTGGACTTAAATATGTCATAAGGATTGATGTTATAACCATGTATTTTCTACGCAGGCACGGAATTTAAGGTCTCCTTCAGAACTAGGAGACATGCAAGAACAACCAGAGGACAGGTAGAGGCTACTGTGGTCGGTCCAGGCGCCTCTACGGACGCAACCGAACTTTTCAGGTGAGTACAAAGTTGTTTTTAACGCAGATGGAGGCAACATTGAGACGTGGTGACGACACACTCAAGTTTGCAACTTATATTAATGCCGCCATCAACACGGGACAAATACATGACAGGACAATACTCATTTACACCTGAGCTAAGTGAGGAAAATCGTGTTAAAGTTCCCAAGGGCACAAGATCGGTGGCATGTCAGGACTCGAACCCGGGACTCTTAGTTCCGAGTCGCGCACTCTGCCGCTACGCCACACGACCCCACGATTGTCTCAAACGCAAACAAAATGCATTTCTAAGAAAAAAATACTTATTCAAGGACACCATTGCATGCTGGGAGACACAGGACATTATGGGTGATTCACAGGGCAAACAGCATCATATCCTGCCTACGCGTCGTCATGCTAATGATTTTGCTTATCTCTGAGTTTACCCAAAATACCCCGCGTCTTGCAGCATGGTATGGGATCTGTGAATAGGTACATCGTGAAAAGGAATTAATAAACTTAAACCGTAGTTCGCAGAAGTGAAATACAGTTTCTTTTTTCGTGTATTAGACAGGGCCCTGTTTTTCGCGGCGATGTGAATCCCTCTGTCCATGTCGTCCAAACATGATTGAAAATGAGCACCATTTCATAATGGATTGTGCACTATACAATGATAAGTGCCTATTACTGTTCACTTTTCTTTCCACTTGTTCAACTGATTTCAATACGATAGATCCTATAGATAAATTCAACTACATTCTCAGGGGAGATAACCAATACAGTACTCAAATAGGAAAATACATCAAAGAATGTTTCGATCTTAGAGACCGCATGGTAGAGAATAGTTAAACCTTTATTGTTACCGCATATATATACGTAAGATGACCTTATCCACAAATGTATTTAGCTTTGTTAGACCTTTAGTTGTAGAAGACCATACAAACGTCTTTGTTGTGCCAATAAAGAATCACTCATCACTATTTGTTCTTTCACATCCGCAGTTCTGACAGCAAGTCCTTCTATGACGACCGGACCTACGCCGGTCACTAATCACTATTTGTTCTTTCACATCCACAGTTCTGACAGCAAGTCCTTCTATGACGACCGGACCTACGCCGGCCAGTTTATGTCCCGGGCGAACCTGAGCGGCGTGCGGGAGCTGCAGCTCACGTTCACGGCTTCTGACAGCGCGACGTTCTGGTCAAGTAACGGTGACCTGAAAATCACGCGGATAGACGTCCAGTCCAGCACCGGGGTCACGTGAGTAAACACATTTAAGGCCTCACCAATATAATTTGTTGTTTCTCGGATTTTTTCGAAAGTATATGAAGCGACAGGGCGAAATAAAAAAAAAAACAGGCCAAGGCACCCCATGATAGCAGGAAATGTTACAATAGAGTCATAAAGTGAACATAACAGGCTGGTTTATAATCAAAACAATAGATGTTGAACTTTAAATGAGACGAAATTGTTACATTGAAAAACTTGAACAACTAAGAAGAAAAGGATTTTCTTCAACCGTTTGGGCCAAAATATGTCTTCCATTGAGCATTTTGCAGTTGATTTGGAACCAATTTTTTTTTTGCAAATCAGAAAAAAATAGACAGGATGAATCCGAGAAACAACAAATTAAATTGGTGTGGCCTAATCGGCTTTCATCTACTACTGACGTAGCCAGCTGCCGTCTCGCCACGTGCCTGCAAAGCTGGTGGTTATACCGGCTTTACCAAAACAGAATTTGCAATATGTGAGGTATTGATTGGTGCACGCCCTTTATCAATAGAGAAAGGGAGATACCCAAAACTAATCCCCAAGGAGATCCTACGATTGCAATGTAGCATACATATGCCAGAGGACCGACCGTTAGTTTATGGTCACTCCTATGTAAATGCCTTGCCACCGTAGGATCTGCTTGGAGATCAACTTAAAACTACCTGTTCATGAGAGAATGTGTAAACAGTGAGCAGCAGCTATAACTATGTCGAAAGAAACAGATGATCACGATAGCATCTGAAGATGGACACTCCTCTGGCCAATGGATATTGTCTTGCCACCGAAAGATCTGCTTGGAGATTAGCCGCTAGGTGCAAGTTTGTAATTGCCATAAAAGGGATTGTGTGTTTAGAAGTCGTTGGCAATTTTGTAATGAGATGTACAGTAAGTATGCTCAGGATAGAATGACAGAAATCAATAGATTTAGCGTAGGAATATTAGGAAATCGGTCATGAAAACAGGCATTAATGCATGGGTCACAATGTAACGAAAAAACTCAATGAATGTGACCTTAATCCTACAGCAACATGTATAAAACCCGTGTTCGTCCCCCCACCCAGGGTCTCTCACTGTGGAGACTACGAGCTGCAGTCAGGATCGACCGTGACCTTCACAGCGTTCGGCAACTGTTGAGCAGGCGGTCGGGCCAGCGGAAAAAATGTTTCTAATCTATCTTTTATCACACAGAAAATAAATACGTAAAAATAAATCACTGCTTCTCCGTAGTTATTCAGTTTCTGAGTATTGTTTAGGGGGTAGTTTGATTTGACTTGATTTGATTTATTAGACTGTATAAACAAATAGTGGCGTCGGTGGCGCAACGGTTAGAGCGTTGAACTCGGAACCGAGAGGTCCCGGGTTCGATATTCACCGTGGCCCGACGTTGTGCCCTTGGGAAAGGCACTTTACACGACTTTCCCACCTGTACGGTGGAGTGACGCCCACCGAGCCTATTAGGCTAATCTGTCTGTCTGGGTGCCAAAAACATCTTACGGATTTGGTGCGCCGATGTGACAACATCTCATATTGGCAACTGAGAACCGCAATTTTTTTTTAATAAACAAATATATACAGTCAGGACTGCCCAACTAGCCGGAGGCTATTATAAAGGGCTAGCCCTCACAACAAGAACATAAACAATTCGGCACGGGTAACAGTTCACAGGTAACACTTCAGATAACTATACTATTACATAACTATACTATAACATACTGTTCCGTCTCTTAAACGGTCGTTGCCATTTAAAACGGTCATATCGCTGACAGGTCCATGCCATATCCGAACCTATCATAACTTATTTGTGGGGCAACAACATTTCACAATGCATGATATGCAAGATTTCAATTGCAAATGTACTACGACATCGTGATAGAAGTGGGAAAAATGAAAAAGGCACAAGCACTAATCATATACACCACGAAACATCACGATGTGGACGGACTGGTGAGTGAAGGTGAAGAGCTCTAAACATAATTTATTCAAATCATGACCATATTTGCATAATTTATGAGGAAGTGCTAGAATAGCCTTTTTGTTAAGATTAGGCTGTCATTGGGTGAAGAATATGATCAACGGATACAACCCATGTAAATGGTGCTCTTATTTGCGAAATCAATGAAGAAAAATGTGCAATTCGTCCACCGATCAACATTATTTGGCGAAGGTATGAGATCGTGGAACTCTTGTTTTCATTTCATTACATATTAATTATTTTCTTCCTTTCCTTTTATGTAATTTTCTTCATATATTTGCTCATTTTGCAGCTGCTTTGTACGATTTACAATACGGTCGTTTTGAGAAGCGGACGAAAGCTCATGCGCGCGGATGTCATCCATATAATCAAATCAACATGGTCTTACTCAACAAACCTCTTTAGTAAAAGATGTCAAAGGTTAAGTACATGTGCAAACAAACCGACATTATCACACCACTTCACTATCTGTAAAATATTATTGAATCTTCGTACATTCTCGTTTCCAGGATGTAGCTACCTAGTGTGCATTGCGAGACCTCGAATCCAAATCAATCTATAAGCTTTCAGACTGTAAAAATCATGTATATTTTAGAGGACAATATGTATGAAGGACAATGAGTTAGATATTTGCCATGTAGAAAAATATAAGAACAATAAGAAGCAAAATATTGATGGTTATTACATGCTAATGTAGCGAGCAAAATGAAAACAATGTTTCTGGTCCAGGAATTTCAACTTATACGTTTATGCTTGTATGAATATAGCAAAGAAATAGTTAAAATTTTAAGGGGCACAACATATAGTATAATAGCCATTACATAAACAGTATAACCAAATGACCCTCAACTTTTAAAAGCTTCCAAAATATGTGCTACGAATGACGTCAATTAGACAAGGAGAGATAAAACATGTTTATGTATCAAATATACAAATGTGTAAGTACTGCTTCGTCATAGAGTTTGCTAAAAGCATGTGAAAATGGACAGTATAATATATAGTAGAATCGACACGGAAATTCTTTTATTTGTATTTTGAGAAGTAAAAAAAGGTTCAGTCTTCTCTGCTTCTTTTGTTGTTACGCCAGGAATGGCCTAAACATACATGTAAATTGCACCGTTACAAATTGAGAATAAAGATAAGACCTTAACATGCCCTGAACATAACTTATAAAAACCTTCTGTTGCAGTACCAAGGGAAGCTACTAGGAGGCCTAAAATTGACCACCATGTTCATATCCTTACTACCTACTCACGCAAAATATCACCAAAGCTCCATGATTCATGTTGGCTAAAGTATGTGAGAAAACACAAACAGACCACCAAAATGCAACACCTACACGGATGTACTTAATTACGTTTATAGAAAACAAACGTAAACACACCTTACATGTAGTCAGGAACATTTCAGCCAATGGCTAAGCAGAAAACAACATACCGTTATGATGCATTTCCGGCAAATCATAGAAACGGACACATCTACAAACTGTGCTCTCTAATTATAACTTCTTATTCACTTTTTTATTAGTCCGGAAAAAATAAATGGCGCCTGGTCTAGTTTAATTTTAGATACTGCACACGGGTGTTATCCGGACCCGGCCTTGGGATGAGTGAATAAAAGGTTTCCTCCTGGGTTCTTCTTTCATACCTGAAGGACAAAATGAAGGGATTGTTGAACATCCTCTGTGTAGCGGTGGTGGTCGTGCTTCTAGTGGATTTAGGTAAGGGCCTGGTCGTACGTATATCGCACGATTGTCGTACGATCGCACACAGAGGTTTTTGATTGGGATAGTCTTATAGAATAGTCTTGTTATCGAACATTCTGTCTTAGATCCTACAATACATCTCACCTAATCTTACTATAAAGAAGCAATGTGTGGATTCCGTGCAAGTTCTATGAACGGTGACTTTTCTTACAAATGTGGAGTCACAGAATTAGGATTAGAAGGGGGAGTCAGGTGTATATCAGGTGTATGAGACGGCTTCGGTATTTACCGCATTGTGTATACTTTATGTGAAGTTTCGACTTAGCTACAAAAGTTGAAACTGACTACAAAGGGGACATTATTCTAATCTACAAAGGTCTGGCAAATGTATACTGCCTGGCCAATTTGATTCTGTATTTGAAGCCACAAAAAAAAATGCTTGGACATTAGCATTTTCAAGAACATATACCGTTGCTCTGGTTCAGACAAGATCGCAGACCTTTAGAAACACTCACATTTTGAAACACTCTGAATTCAGTAAATAACCAGCCAGCTGTACTTTCTGTTTTGTCATTTGATTTTGAGATGCAAATTCCGGCACAGGAAATAATTGATGCCATTAAGAGCCTACCCAATGGAAAAGCCTTCGGGTCAGATGGAATTTCTAATGAGCATTTGAAATATGCAGGACCAAAATTGAATGTCCAGCTGTCTATGTTGTTCTCGTCCGCTCTTGTGCCTAAACTTTTTATTGGGTATCATCTTAGATACTTTTTAGTACCGATTGTAAAAAAAAATCTGTTAACTGTTGTTACTATGTGTATTTCTATTTGCATGTTTTCTTTTATTTATATGGGTCATGGATGCCTAAAATAATGAAGAATAACAAAAGATATCTTTTCATGACTCGGGTACGGGTATTCTACTAAGAGTCCCCCTAAACCTTCAGAAAGTTTCATTTTTTGCGTTTGAAACGACGTTTTTCCGACATTGTTTTTCCAAATTTGAATGAACATTTGGAGAGCAAAGCAAAGAAGTCGATAAGAAAAGGAGCAGGGTTCGAGCTCAAAATAAATGTGCAAGTCAAAGTTCTGTGTGGAAATGTTGTAGGTATGAACGTCTCGCAGATAGGACGTTAAATGGAGGTCCCGTTTTGGTGGCGAGACGCACCTTGAGTATGTTGGAGAACCCACCACACATATCGAAAAGACTAGGCGTCCTTCCCGGTATGAGTGGATCAGACCGTAGTCTCTACCAGACTAACTACGCTGGCTATATATAGAAGAATAATTGCCAGGCGAGTTTGGTCGCCTTGTAGGTTTCATTGGCCGCGGAGGGAAAGAAACTACCTCCCCACCGCCGGACCTCCTTGGCCAATTTTACTCTCTTTTTTGCCGAATTCTACGATCCGTATTCCCGTAGAAAGCCCGCCGTAGAAGAAACAACCTCCCCACGGCCGGACTCCTTTGGCCAATTTTACTCTCTTTTTTGCCGAATTCTACGATCAGTATTCCCGTTGAAAGGCCTGGTGGAGGCTAATCAAACCATACAGTTCTATGACCGCTCCGGTGTTGTATATCTGATAGTTGCCACAGGTTGTAACTATTATATCATGTTTCCCTATACAGTCGAACCTGGCAAGCGGATCCGCTACAACGTGAGAAAAGGCAAGCGCCTACCAGAACTGCGGTCACTGCCGTACGAGGACATCCTGAGGGTGTACGGTCAAAAAAGACAGCAGGGACAGTCTTCCAGTAGAAAGCAGCCCGCTGACCACGGAAACCACCACACCACCACCACACAAGCGATGACCACGACGCCAAAACCACCCCAGGTAGTCTGCTATGGCGACCTGGGCTGTTTTTCGGACGAGTACCCGTTTGATAACACCGGCCGTGTGGTGCCCCAGTCTCCTGAGTACATCAACACCGTGTTCTATGTCTTCACTAAGAGCAACCCCACCATAGAGGCCAGACAGGTGGGACTTTGTTTATACTACCATGGCTTGTCTTCACTTTTATAACTTGAAAGTTGTACTGATTTGGCGGGATATATATATATATATATATCCAGATAATGAGATACATAAGCAATTGTTACTAAAGTAACTAAATAGGATTTGAAAACTGTCAGAGGTACAATGTAGGTACATGTAGCATCCACTACTTGACGTCAGTGACTAACGGGATCTGTAATTGAGCAGGTATTTATCCAAAACTGTGAATACCTTTGACTACAGACTCTGAGCCATACTGAAGTCAACCTAGCTCGAAATGACGCCGCAAAAACCGTGACATAGATTTTACGTAGATTTTCCCTATATACCAATACTAGTACTAAAATGCAATCTAAACCTTGAACGTTGGTAATAGAAAATAAAAATGTCGGGAGGTACTTGCCCACTCTACGTCCATGCCAAATGTCAGGTCATTTGGCTGAAAGCTGGCAGAGTTGAATCCATTTAAAGAAATGGCAGGAGAAGGAGGAGAAGGAGAAGAAACATGAGAGAAAGCAATGTGTTCACCACACCGAGAATGAGCCACACTAAAAATCTATTTCACACCTGTTTTGTGGAGTCATTTCATCAGAGGTCAACAAAGGGTTGTGGGAATTCTGAAAGTGGTGGATGATTGAGGCTATTTTTGGTATGTTTCAGGCTATTTCATACGACGACATCCTCAGCGTACAGAACTCGCCCTTTGACCCCACCAAGCCGGTGAAGGTTCTGATCCACGGGTTCTACTCCTACCCCATCACCGGAGACCCGTTCTGGGCAGGAGACGCCATGAGGGAGATCCTCAAACGGGTAAGGTCACGGGCCTCGCGTATGCTTATTAGGCTATTCAGCAGTTTCCCTATCAAAGTTTTTGTGTTCCTTTCAACATGGAACATGTGGTTTGTAACGTTACAGCATCAGCATAGCGTTACCACTATATCGTTACAAACCACATATTCCAAAAAAATCATTTTCTATTTGTTGTCAGATTCAACCCATAGTAATTTAATTAACGTTGAGCATAAAATGCCCCCAAAACCTCAAAACACGCTGAAAAACAAGCTGTTTAACGTCAACGGGAACATTCAGATGCCTTCCTGTCCTATGGAAATGAGGTTTAGACCCCTGTTTTTGCAATGCATTCTGGGCATGGGAAACTGGTTGGTGGACGCGTGCTGTGACCGTTCGGTGACCAAATCAGATTTGCGTGACCCTTGCTTTCATAACTGTATAACAATGCAAGATATCAAAGTATGACATAACAAGAGAAAAAAATTGCGAAATCATTTGAACCCAGTTTACCTTAAAGTTTACCAGTTTACCTTGTTACTTTTTCAACCTAATGAACATTTTCGCGTGCTTAGGTAAACTAGTACTGTCTTTCAATCAGCAAGTTGATCTTTTTTCATAGGACGACATAAACGTCATCATTGTGGATTGGAACAAGGGCGCGGAGTTTCCCAACTACGCTCAGGCAGCAACAAACATCCGCCTGGTGGCCGCTCAAGTCGCCAAACTCATCACTTTCCTCATCAACGGGACGGGAGCCGGTCTGAACCAGTTTAGTCTAGTTGGGCATAGTCTGGGGGCGCACCTGTCTGGTCACGTGGGAAAGAGACTACCCGGTCTGCCCAGGATCACAGGTACCTCTGTTTATAGGGGTGGCGCCTCAGGGGCGTGGCCTGTAGTATAGTATTGTTTTGACTATATAAAACATTCTGTTGTTGTGTATGGTGTGAATTGAGTAATTTGAATTAACCCATTGTACATCGCAACGTTTTCTGGTAGCAATGGTTTTCTTATATATACATGCTAAATGGAAGATCAAAGCGCAGTTTACACGCCTCATCCCAGGCCCAGCTGTATGTATCATCAGATTTCTCTGCCGATTGTAGGTTTGGATCCTGCCGAGCCGTTCTTCGAGGATTACGACCCGATCGTGCGCCTGGACCCCACGGACGCTCTGTTCGTGGACGTGATCCACACGGACGGGGGAGAGATCCTGTCCGGGGCCTGGGGCCTGGACCTGCCGTCAGGACACGTGGACTTCTACCCGAACGGCGGGAAGGGACAGCCGGGGTGTGGGAACACGTGGATCGGCAGCATCACCAGCGTCTTCGACCCTAGCGTTAGTACGTACAACTTATTTCTACACTTAAGAAGTAACATTTGCAAAGCAAATGCATAATGTTTACCTTCGGACATGGTCTGCCCTGTTAATTTTAACTCAAACACATTCACATACATGTACTACGAGTATATGATGACAGGAGTAGAGCAGACCATGAAATTGCAACATTATGTAACCCAAGACCAGTCACCATGGTGGCAGACGTCAACAAATCATGCCATTGGCCATGTCAGAGGTTAGTGTTTGGAACAGAAGAGGAGGAGGAAGAAACTGAGTAAAAACAATGTTTTCCTTCGGTAAACATAATTAACAGCAACATTCAAAGCGTAAAAGCAAAAAATAAGCACACTGTGTAGAAGCTGCGCTATTCACGGTCCTACAAGACTGAGTAATGTAAACTACTTAATATGTAAATTTTAACGTTCAGTAACTGGCGAAATGTAGCTCTTCAAGGGACAGACAAAATCTAGTTGCTTGATTAAATTTTTCTTTTGTATCTATCTACATTAACGTCATCCATAACTGGCCATGGGCCCATATGTCGCAGAAATAATTTCAAATCCATGACAAACGTGAATTAAGGTTAACAGAAGCAGAAAAGAAATGCACACATAGAGATTAGTACTTTTATTGATTTAAAGCGTCACTGTTAACAAGCCAATAGTAGCTTAGAGGTTTCCTTGCTATTGGTATATCCCACCTTTTGTTGAGTTGAACCCAAGTTTATGTTGAGTGAGTCCTCCGTATCTAACGTATATCACATGTACATGTACTCTTGACAGGTGCCATGTAAATGGTACCCTGGACAATAGTGATAATTGCCAGGTAGACCAGATACTGGTTGCCTATCAAGCCAAAAGCAACCGTGACCAGACTTACCTGCCACGTACAAACATGATAAATCCTACTCTTTCAGTCTTATATTAGGAACTAGACGAAAATGAAAGACTCTGTGTTTTAGGTTACTTTGATTTCTTTGTTTTATTTATCCCGTAACACGTTACACCCTTCTACTTCCCACATCTAAAGCACTAGATGACGTGGTGGACTGTAGCCACAACCGCGCGTACGAGTTCTACATCGAGTCGATCAACAACCCCTGTAAGTTCGTGGCCTACCCCTGCCGCAGCTATGACGACTTCGCCGCTGGAGGATGCCGGGACTGTTCCAACAACGCATGCTCAGTGATGGGATATGACGTAGACAATAACATGGCTGCCCGTGGAAGTCTCTACCTGTCTACCGGAGATACTGGGCCATATTGTAGTAAGTGAAATAACTAGTTGACGATTCCAATACAGTTAACCAATACAACCGATTTAACTAAAACTGGAAAATTAGTTTTAAAAAAAGAGTTAATGGGTAAAGGTTTGATTCATGGTCTGATACAGACTTGTATTTTGATTGGACCGATGATAAAACATCTGCAAAACAAACGAATATTCTTTAGTATCATATGGTCTAGTCTAACAAACTCAAACACATTCAAATGCAAAATGCCTATTGGGACCAGCCTCTCTGACTATAATATGATGTAACCCAACATCACAGGGTGTCTGCTACAGCACCAGTTACCATGGTGACAGCCCCTTCAGAGTAGAATGAAGTTCACATCCAGATCTTTCGGTTCGTTAAAAAAATAACAAATAGAAGAAGTAATTATATACATGTATATATGGTGTCTAACTGTGAGGGATATTTTTTTCTAAATTCAACCTCTACATTCATGTTCCTAGGGTACGAGTACAGAGTGACAATAAAGACAAAGGCAGGGATGGAGCACACGAGAGGAAACCTCGTCGTGATCATCAAGGGGAACGGACAGACCACACCCCCAATCCAAATCTTTGAGTAAGTACTTCATACACATTTTCACTATTGATACAAAAGCAGCAGGTGCTGACAACCATGTTGGTGTCCCTATTTACATTTCAGTGATTTTGATCTAGTAATTTTTGTTGTTTTGCTGTTCCTATCAGTTTTGGTTTTGTGGTGTTCCTATTTTTGGACTGGATTGCACACGTTCCATGGGCAGCTTTTAAAATATTCGTCTGGTATTCTCTTCTTTGTGCTGTAAATATTCATTAGTGGTTATTTCAAATGGTTAGCAGATATTCAAATATCCGTCTAAATAACAGTCAGACGTCACGAAAAAATGCTGTAATCGGTTAACCAGAGCATTCAGTATTATATAAAAAGGTTATTAGTATTCAGACACCTTTATCAAAGTTTATGTAATACATGTTTATTAAGAATCGGCACGACAAATTAGAAATTATAGCAACTGTGGAAGATGATAGCCCTTAAAAATATTGCCTGCGCAATATCTAAACAAGAATTCGGAGATCTTATACCTCCATGAAATATATGAGTTTTTTCAGTACCAAGGTCAGCCACCAGGAGGCCCATAATTGACCTTGACCTTTATCTTTCCAAGACTTACCAACTATCATCACAATCCATAAATGCGTTCTGAAGTTATGCTGACGACAAAGTTGCGGAAACACACACAGACACACAGACAGAAAGACACACACACAGACAGACACGCCACAGACAATACCTCCATTTTTCATGGAAGTATAATAACGGTTATTTTGAATGGTCCAATCGTAGCTCCGGCAGCTATGCTCTTGACCAGGACACCACGCACTCGGGGATTGTGACATCCACTGTGGGGATTGACTCCATACTGGAGCTGCAGCTGACCTACCTGGCCACAGATAACATCCTGTACTCCTGGGCTAACGCAGCTGATCTCACTATAGACAGGATCGACGTCACATCCAGTAGTGGAGCTAGGTAAGGTTCACTTCGGTATTCTTTTTTTTAAATATTCCAACATGTAATCACAAGACGTGGTCAACTTATATTAGTGCCACCACAAACACAGGGGACAAGACAAACCTCATTTTTACCTGAGCGAAGTGAGGAAAGTCGTGTAAGTGCCTTTCCCAAGAGCACAAGATCGGTGGCATGTCAGGACTCGAACCCGGGACCTGTTGGTTCCGAGTCGCGCACTCTGCCGCTACGCCACACGACCCCACTAATTCGGTATTGTCTTCCGTACATCTACATGTAAGAGCAACTCTATTTAGAAGATGTATAGGAAATAGTAAAAAAATCTGATGTTTGGAAGTGCACTGAAAAGTAGAAAAACGAATGATTAAGTCACAGAATTGTTTAAACCTTTCCGGTCTGTTCTGTTCAATAATATTACTCAGCATCGAAACAGCAAGGCACAACCGCACACCTCTGGAGCAAAGAATTTGCCAATTTTGTAGCTCAACCAAAGTAGAAGATGAAGTCCACTTTGTTATTGATTGTAGTTTATATAGTAATAAAGGAAATGATCTTTTTAGATATATTACAAGTACGTTTCCATACTTCCAATACTTGTCTATTATTGAAAAAATTATCTTTCTTATGCGCTTTGATCATCCTGTACTATACAGACCCATTTCAAAGTATATTTTTAACATTACAAAGAAACGAGAAGAAACCGAACCTCTGTATTAGTGTAGTTTTAGAGCTGTTTGTACTACAATCATTTATATTACCTATTTCATCTGTTCACCTGTACTTAGCCCGATAGGGCATGAATGTACAATAAAGGTTATTATTATTATTATTATTGATAAGAATAATGTAGAAATCTCAGTGATGAGAAATTGAAATGTTGTGGGCGAGATGTTGAAAAATTGTTCTAAATTTGTCATCTCTGTGTTTTCTACAGTGTGTCTTACTGTGGAGAGATGCTACTTAGAGACGGACAGATGAACACTCTTTCATCCTTCAACAACTGTGACGTCACCCCGTAAAAACAGACGTGCCTGTAAATCAGTATCATTCACGCCATCTGTTCGTACGGAAGTATTTCCTTGGGCGGCTGAGCTACGGGTTTGTGTGTCTGTTTTTACGGACAGAGTAGGTTGACAAGACGTGGGTGGGAAAGATTTACATGTAAAATGACAAGAGACCAAACGGTCAGGCATAGGATTATGGGAGACATTGAAGGTCACGAAATACTTCCAGCAAGTCTAAAATCCCCGATTTTGTTCTGCGTTTTAAACCTCGGCATCTCTAAGCAAAAAAAGATAAATGGATTTTGAAGACCGCATTTTATTTCGCTAGACGGCAATACAATATGCATGTATTGCGTTTGACTAATTACTGGTGTATTCAGCAAATATTCAAATTTTAATGTTTTTAACGGAATTGTTTGTAGATTTTAGTAGTGTTTATCTCATGGTATGATATCAGAATAAATTCATTGGTGGAATGCTGCAACCTACTTTACTGTAATTTGATATCGCTCAATAGTGCAATACTATATGCATGTAGATATTAGATATACTGAAGAAGTCCATACATTAATGACACAATAAAGATTTTCACAAAGTATATGGGAGTCGTGATATCTGTGTCTTCTCTCTGTAATGTTATGTATGAACAAATAAATTTGTAATGTGTTATTTTCAGTTATTTTTCAAAAGACTCAAAAAAATAAAGCTAATTGTTCTAGTATTATATTTCAATCTTCAAATGTTAAGAAAGGAATTCGAATATATATATGTGTGCTCCTCCATGCATATATGCATGCTAACTCCATAAAAGCCCTATAAATAGGTTTCTTGTATTGATTTCTTGTGAGCGGAGTTGTACTGTAGCAACATTTCAGCTAACTATCTAGAATAGCAGACATAACAATAAAATAGCTGAAAATATCTGAAAGAATATTAATTAGGCCATGTTGATTTGATTATATGGATGACATCCGCGCGCGCATGGATTATCGGCCGTTTCCCCCCAAAAAAGGTTTCAATCATACTTTAAATCGTGCAAAACAGTTGCAAAATTAGCAAATATATACCGTAAGTTGCAAAACGAATATTTAAAAACGATACCAATGTCGTAGAATGCCAAAATTAAACAAAAAAGACGAAAGTGTAAAGAAATGAATTTGAAGAGTAGATTATTCACCAAACCGTACTCTGTGTCATTTGTTCGACCTTCATGACGTAGATTTCATAATAAAAGTAATTTTTTGCAATTTTTTTTATTCGCACGCACGCATCAGTTTTAGGGTTGCCAGAGGATGTCATCCATATAATGACATATTCAAAAGTTTTTTGTAGTGTGCGAAGCCTCGTGACACTAGTCGTAGCTTATATAAGACTTTCAATAAAACGTGAGAAACAAAGTTACTTTGGAGATAATGTACGTATAGATGACGTTGTGCAAAACTGTAAAGTAAGAAACTCATAGGTTAAACATGATTCTCTTGTTGACCAATCGCAGATCCCTATAACGTTACATAACCCTATCAGAAATAGACGCCAAAGTTCTACATTTGCCCGTCAATCATTTACCATCGTTATTGCCGGACAAATGTGGCGGGAATGACGCCAAATAAAACCGGTTTACCCGGATGAGTGGCTTTGCCCCCGCCTGATAAAAGCACGACCTGTGTGCGGGTTTCCCTTCTCTGTGTTGATCTGTCTGTGTCTGAAAATGAAGAAGCTGTCGTATGTATTCCTTCTTTTGGTGGTTATCGTTGGAATGGCGGACCTGGGTGCGTTCTATACTTGATTTATAGTGAAGTTTATAATGAAGTTTATTGCAAATTCATGCCCGTGGGGCTAATTGCAGATTACAAACAGAAAAGAGCAATGAAACGTAGTATAAAATAACTAAAATCTACACAATGAAAGGTACTTGTCTAGAGCTATAGCTATGTCTAAAACTATGTCTAAGGGGTTTGACTTCTCTTTTTTAGACCATGGAAGACGTAATGTCCCACCTTTTCTAAAATTAGTGGGTTTTGGGAAGTTAAAAGAAGAATAGTTTTTTCTTTGTCCGTAAGTTTAGTAAAATTTGGATGAATTGTAGAAGTTTGAATAGTTAACTCATTTCGAGCGTTGCTATAAAAAGAACAATTTGAGATAAAGTGTATTTCGTCTTCCACAGCCTTTGCATTTCCGTTGCTTAACTTCTGAATCACTTCCTTAAGATTGTGGGGATGTACAAGTTGACTCAAATGTTTGCACCGCCAAATTTACAAAATAAATGGAAATCAACATATGCGACAACGGTAATGTACATAATGTATATTGCAAGTATACTGTTTGCTTACAATGTATTCTACTGTTCTTTAAACATACATTTTTATTCTCCTTCTAGGTGAATCCGTCAAACGTAAAAACGGAAACGTGAAGAAGAGGCAGTCTGTTCGCTTCTCGGAGCCCAGGTCACTCCCTTACGAAGAAATTCTGCGGTTCAAAGCAAAAAGGAGGCAACAGGTCCAATCTAGACTGAAGTCAGCAGACAACAACACAACAGCCGTCAGCAACTCAACACTCAACAACGAGACCACCACCACCACGCCCAAACCTCCACAGCTCGTCTGCTATGGAGACCTGGGCTGTTTTTCGGATGAGGCTCCCTTTGACAACACCGGGTCTGTGCCGCAGTCTCCAGAACATATCGACACCAAGTTCTACGTGTTTACAAGAAGCAATCCAACTATTGAGGAGCGACAGGTATGCCGTTATCTAGAGCTGCCGGTACCGTCTGTACAAAAGACCATAGGTACAATTAGTATTTTTTTCTTGTGTGTGTACTTCGAGTTTCTATGGGTACTTCGAGTTTCTATGAGTACTTCGAGTTTCTATGGGTATATTTCGAGTTTCTATGAGTACTTCGAGTTTCTATGAATACTTGTAGTTTCTATGAGTACTTGTAGTTTCTATGGGTACTTAGACTTTGTATTGGAACTTAGAGTTTCTTACGCCTGGTCTTTCGTACGTCTGGTCAGTGCAAGCATATAGTTTTATTCATAGATAAATAAAAGTCCTCAACTGGGTTTACTCGTCTGGTTATGCAAAAATACCACTGTTGTCAGGTAGAAACGATATAAATAGACCAGACCATCTCCCTGACGTCGTTACTGCTATGGACATACATGTAGTCGTGATATCAATCTATACAGCTCCGAAAAAAGCAGACAACCTTTCCTGGCGTTTCAAATGTAGCTTAGTTCATGAACTAGTAATTTGAACTGTTTTATTTTTTCAAGTAAAGGCATTTGTACATCCCACCGGGTCAGTTGTGGTAAAAACCAACTAGTTTGAACTGTGAATTATTCATCGCTTTTTCTTCGAGGTTATGATTGAAGAGGTAAGGGCTCGACAAATAAAGTACTAATAAATCTATACACATATTTTACACATATCTAGTACAAAATCTAGTACATAATATCTAGTAAAAAATACGTGTATTATAAAAGTGAGAAGTTGTATATGGTACGTTTGGGTGTTGCTGATTGCCGTTACTAAGGCCACAACAAGTAATATTTATGGATGACGTGAGTGCGCGCATTAATTTTCGCCTGATTTTGGGGAAAAACTTATTTTGCCCTTTGACAGTGGTCAACATTTCGAAAATGGGAAAAATGGCATGCCTTGCCATGCTGGAACGTGTATGGCAGATAAACATGAAGAGAGGAGACAAGACAAGGCTCTGATTTATTGTTTAGATTTTTACTTTGATGCATTGATGTTTTTCATTCCTTTTATATGCTCCCACTAAATCAAAACCATCTGTACAATGATTGAAAACTTTTCTTTTTCGAAGTTGTTTCAGTGACAAATGGATGTTGTGATAGTTGGCAGTAAAGTTAGCACAATATAGGTATCATTTCTTGTTTAACAGGATTTATGATGTCAAAATGTGAAGATATAACTTGGGTTAGGAATTTTGTTTTGGACCCTTCTTGTTTGTTTTTTTTGCCCCCTCGCATTAGAATTGGAGCCTGTAGAGGATGTCATCCATAAAATTTGCTTGCTGTGGCCTTATATAACGTTATCAAGTTACTACACAATACAAAATACAAGAATTGGAAATATCCTCCTTGCAGGAGATATCATACGAAGACCCCTCCAGTCTGCGCATGTCCCACTTCAACCCCAGGAACAAGGTGAAGGTACTGATTCATGGCTTCTTCTCCAACCCCATCACCGAGCCGCCATTTTGGGCAGGAGACGCCATGATGGAGATGCTCAAACGGGTAAGGTCATAGGTTACCCCCACAGTTCCACCACTGCACAATCGCCATTTATGTTTTTGTTCAAATGTATCAAATCTTTATTGACTAAATGTTTTGAATTGAAGAATTATTTTCAACTTGCCACCCATAATTGCGTAATATTGATTAATGTTTAAGCTTTAGTACGAGTTGCATATTTTATGATAGACCTGTCGACGTTAGAAACACTAGTTTTCAGCAGTAGGTTTTAACAGCATACAGTAGATAGGAGATAATTGTTCTCTACTGAACAGCATTTCTGAACTGTCAAGCTAGAATATTTTTGTTCGTTTCTTATTATGTCGTTTTTGCTGAAAAGGGCGATTTAAACGTCACACCATTGTACAATCGTTATTTTTTTGGTCAAATGTATCATATCGTTATCGACTGAATGTTTTGAATTTCAACTTGCCACCAATATAATTACGTAATATTGATTGATGTTTAAGCTTTAGTACAAGTTGGATATTTTATGATATAGACATGTCGAATTGGTGATGAGAAACATTAGTTTTCTGCAGCAGGTTTAAACAGCATACAGTAGATAGGAGATAATTCTTCTCGACTGAACAGCATTTCTGAACTGTCAAACTAGAACATTTTTGTTCGTTTCTTATTATGTTGTTGTTTTGTTGTTTATTTCAACATGCAAATATACAATACATAGTGGTGACGCACTCAAGCTACATGCTTATATTCACGTCACCACTGGACATAAAATAAAAATTACATCACAAAACATGGGAATCGTCCAGGTAACAATAGAACAGAGTTAGTTTTTGAGATATTATGAATGGATACAGAAGTATAAATTGAGTATATTATGTCGTTTGTGCTGAAAAGGACGATTTAAACGTCATCGTAGTGGACTGGAACAAAGGTGCCGCGGCGCCTAACTACTTTGCGGCGGCGTCCAACATCCGCGTGGTGGCGGCACAGATCGCCAAGCTGCTGGTGTTCCTGACGGAGGAGACCGGATGTAAGCTGGAACAGTTCCATCTGGTGGGGCACAGTCTGGGCGCGCACACGGCCGGCCTCGTGGGAACCAGGCTACCTGGTCTGCCCAGGATCACAGGTACGATATGTTTGTACAGGTTTTTGGAACCGCCTCAGGGGCGGAGGCAAAAAAAGCTTTTAGTTGCACCGATGCATCAATTAGATTGAAACTACAACGATATTTAGCAAGACGTGAAGACGTTATGACAGTGAATCTCTACATCTGATATGATTTAATTAATATATGCATGTGCCAATCAAAACATAAGCAACTATCTTTTAATTATAACTTTAAAAGTGTTGATAATGGAATGATAACAATAAACCATATATTGATATTACTCTGTGCAGAACGACCTTGGCTACAACTTTTATAGTATACATATCTGAATCAATTGATTTTTATGTTAAAAAATATTTTACCATACATCTTTGACTGGAAAACCTTACTTAGACAGTCCATGTACCTGCGACAAGGGTGGGAGGGGGTTAGTCGTGATTGTGAGTTTTCGATCGATAATTGTTGGCATAAATTGGATATTAACCATCATAATATGATAGCACTGATTCTGAAACGATTTTGGCTACTGCTTTCATAGAATACGAATCTCAATCAATTAGTTTCCATGCTAATTTCAACTATTTTACTACCTTTGATAACAATACTAGTACTAGTACGTAAAATCTACTAGTATTCTACTACAGGAAATATTAAAGAAAACTACTCTCCTCTTAACATCCGAAAACCCACAAATTACAGAAAAAGTAGGATCCTTTGTCTTCCTCTGTCTTCAAAAAAGAAGTCAAACCCAGTAGTTTTTACTAGTAGTTTCTTAGTAGTTTTCAGTAGTTCTATGTGTACTAATTATCTGTTTTTCATACCAAATGTTTTTTCTGTTCCTGCAATTAGCCCTCGGGCATAAACTTGCAATAAAACATACGTTATTAAATTCCAAACGTCAGCGAGGTGAGACTCTTTGGTTGTGTAAAAAGAATTCCCCTATTTCTTAAGTTTTACCAACCTGATGAAACTATTTTCGGGGTTATTAAATTCCGTGTGCCTGTAGGTTTGGATCCTGCCGAGCCGTTCTTTGAAGACGAGGACCCGATCGTGCGCCTGGACCCCACGGACGCTCTGTTCGTGGACGTGATCCACACGGACGGGGGAGAGATCCTGTCCGGGGCCTGGGGCCTGGACCTGCCGTCAGGACACGTGGACTTCTACCCGAACGGCGGGAAGGGACAGCCGGGGTGTGGGAACACGTGGCTCAGCGCCATCGGCAGTCTGCTCGACTCCTCCCAAGGTACGTACCGTAACGTAATCCATGTATTATTACCTCAGGGGGAGGAGACATCCTTCGGCGGAAGGGTTTTGTGAGAGATTTAGATTTTCATGTTCGCAGCTGTTTCTCGCATTTGGGTGGACGGATTCTTTTGAGACTCGGTATATGTTTTGCTATTGGGCTGCAGATGATGCACCTTCTTTAGTTTTTATTGTATATGTGTTTTCGGGCGGGAAAATGGTGCCTTTTATTGGCCCCAAAACACCCCTTTGAGCGTGAAAGTGGTCGCGACCGTTGACTTTTGGCGTGTTTAAGCTATTCTCGGTCTGGTCCACGTATATGACCCCTCACACAGAGGGGTGTCCGGTCTCGATAAATTCTTTATATGTATAAAACCCTATATAAAAAAAATACAATAAAAAGCCCTGAGGTATAAAATCTTAGATTTTACTTGTTACTGTTGCCATCTACACACAGTTCTAAAACTAAAATGTGCATCATTGTAGTCAATATAACTACAGCCTTTCTCAAGATGGATGACCCGTGTACGTGAACACGTGACTCCAGGAACCCCGGGGTCCACCAGCGCGTCGGCAGAACGTACTGCGCCTGCGCAGAACCCCGAATTTGGGCGGTTTTCGTTGGTTTTTTGGTCAACGTTGCATCAGAATTTTGCCTGTTGCAGACAATATTTTAACCAACATAACATTTGAAAACTACTGTCGGAATGCTAACCTTATATGAGCGAATACGACCTTATATGAGACGTTCTGCCGAAGTGCTATGTACAATACAATCGGTTTCGCGCAGGTGCAGTACGTTCTGCCGACGTGCTGGGTCCACCGCTAGTCATACAGACAATACATATATACATACATAGTTGACAGAGTCATAAAACAACATCTAAATCAATAACATATTTACAATATATAATTATTTAAAAAACAAACAGCCCTGTCGAACAAGTGCTGGTGTGCTAATGATAGAAGTATTTGTGCAAACTGTTCTTAAAGACTCTCAGGGATGGTGTGGATTGCATAACAATTAGAAGGTTATTCCACACACTAACAGCCCTGTACATGAAACACTTCATCAGTGCGTTAGTTCTTGGTTTGCCTAGCATAAAAGACTGCTTAGCGACAAAACGGGTTCTATAACTATGCAAGTTGCTGACCGCACGCAGTTGCCTACTGATACAAATAGGTTCGTTTGTGAGTGTTATTGGTGGCAAACTGGAAAATCTATAAATAATACTGAACATTTCATGAACCTTCAAGTTTACACCAAGTTTCTTCCCTCTCGCCCTGAAGAGCTGACTGACTCCATGGACTGTAGCCACAAGCGTGCACACCAGCTGTACATAGACTCCATCAACAACCCCTGTAAACTCGTGGCCTACCCCTGCCGCAGCTATGACGACTACCTCGCAGGGAGGTGCTGGGAATGCTCAAACGACGCCTGCGCAGTGATGGGGTATGACGTAGACAGTAACCCGAACGCCCGTGGAAGCGTGTACCTGACTACGGGAGAGAGCCCGCCATATTGTTGTGAGTGTTGAGTACTAACGCTTCCTAACGTTGAAGGCAGTCTGAAAAGCAGAGACCAGTATTATTTTCTAAAGGAACACATTTCTTTGCTCTTGTTGCTCCAAATTTTGGGACTATCCCACATGAAACAACAAAATCCCTACCTTGGTACTGAATAGCCTTCCACCCCTATGTACTATACTGCACCATCCCCACATTGGTACAAAATGCACAATGAACCAAATGACGTGTAAAATTTAGCCACGTATTAAGAAGGAATTGAACTATTTATAATCCAGTAACTGCTTCTGCCGTTGAGACTGCCTTTAACAATTATTTGGTCTTTTGGACCTGATCTCGAGTTCTTCCAACAATATATGCTGTATAGGGCGGCGCTCACCCCGTTTCTGTAGACCTTGGTCCACATAGCTGTGAAAATTATTGATACATTTTCTACTTAATAATTTGTTTGATGTTATTGTGATTTATGAACTCATCATCATCGTCGTCGCGTTATATGAAAGACACAGAATATCTATTTCCGGGTACGGTGGGTTTGTGTGTCTGTTTGTTTGTTTGTTTGTTTGTTTGTTTGTTTGTTCGGATAGGGCAGGTTGGAAGCACGTGGGTGGGGAAGATTTAGCCAGAATGACAGGAGATCAAGAGGTCAGACACAGGAAACAGTGTCAACTTGAAGGCCACGAAACCCAAAATACTTCCTCCCACGTCTTTTTATGCAGTTGCAGTTACACACTGATCCAAACCTTTCTGTCATGATGATTATCTCAGAATTATGTCTGTCTTGTTATGTTTACCGAAGGAAAACATATTGTTTTTACTCAGTTTCTTCCTCTTCTGTTCCAAACACTAAAGCTGGCCAATGACATGACTTGTTGACGTCTGTCACCATGGTGACCATTTGCTTTACAAATGTTACTCTCTAGTTTATCTTAAATCCTTGACAAACAAGTTCCGTTTATTCCTGTAGCGTACAAGTACAGAGTGGTGTTGAAGACAAAACCGGGGATGGAGTTCTGTAGAGGCGAGATCACCATCAACATAGCGGGGAGCTACCAGAGCACCGGCCCGATCAAATTCTTCGAGTAAGTGAATGATTAGATACTTCTCGGTACAAAAGGGTTTGGGAATGGGAAATGGTGTGCATGCTTGTCCGAACAGAGAAGGTTGAGGAAGTGGGTTGGGAAGATTGACAGGTAGGATGATAGGAGGTCAAAATGACAGGAAATGGCTCTGCCAGCATGAATTATAGAATTGACATGGGGGAATTCAGGAAGCCGGGGATTACATGAGGGGCCCTCCAATACTACAATATTTACCGGAAATTTCAAGTTTGTATTGTGTCATCTTCGTTGCCCAATGTGTGGATGTACAATTTTGTTGTTTTATTCAATTGTACTTACACCGATTTCTACAAAACAAATGTGCAGGCTACTTTTGAATTGAATTGTTATCGCCCGTATACTATTTCTAAATGATTTATTTAGAAAGTGTGTGAAGATAACAGTAAAGTCAATATAACCCACGCTTTGACAGGGCGAACTCATGCTCACAATTAGCCCATTGGTACATCCAACTAGAGACTGCCATAACCATAGAGAAGATAATTACAAATTTATTACAGCAAATTTGTCAAGTCAAGTCAAAGTTTATTGCATAACGATTGTCACGGGTATAATGTATGGCAAATAATAAAGTTACTAGTTGGTATGAGTCTATCACAATGCTACATATATGGTCAACGGTTACTGTGTCTGACAGAGTGTTATAAAGAACTACTGGCTAGAAAATATTTCAACTCTACACGTCCGTTCTACATTACGCTAAACTATACTTATGAGGGTACAGTGAGCAGTTGTACCTATACAAAACATGTTCTATGGCTACTAAACAGAGTGTTCACTAAATTACTTGCCAGGAATGTTACAGTTCTACATATAAATGCTACGATACGATACGCTACACTATATACGTGTAGTTGATGGCGTCAGGTGGCGTAGTGGTAGATCATTCGACTGTGAACCGGGAGACCCGGGTTCGATCCCGAGTCGTACCCGGGACATGTCTGGACATGCGCCCCGACGTTGTGCCCTTGAGAAAGGCACTTAACACGACTTTCGTCACTCCACCCAGGTGTGAATTGCTACCTAACTTCGGTTGGGGAAAGTCGTATTGAGGTCACCTCGTGGCGCTGAATGGCAGCCGCACAGACCCTTACGGCAGTTCTACAAATATGTATCATGACATTGTGTATTATGTGTATTATTATGTGTATTATTACCATTTGTATCATCTAATTGTAATCCCTGCCTCAATTCAGCACTATAAGGCTTCGATTGCACGGGTGATGTTTGGCCAATAAACCATTTATTATTATTATTATTATTATTGATTAAGTATTATCTTTATGCCACTGCAGTGACAATTCGCATGGAATTGACGCGGACACGGAATATGTTGGCATTTTCGCCTCCAATGTCCGGCTGGACACCGTGAAGGAAGTGACCCTGACCTACACCCGGACAACCAGCTTTCTCTTCTCCTGGAGCACATATGGTGATGTGGAGCTAGAGAGGGTCGACATACAGTCCAACCTTGGCATAGGGTCAGTGTCTTCTTTTAGGCCACAGCAAGTAAATTTTGTGGATGACATCCTCCGCAGACTCAAAATCTATTATGCGACCGGGCGAAAAAAACAAGGTTCCTACAATTTCAAATTTTGACTCAATCATTGTACAAATGGTTTTGATTCAGTGGGAACATCACATATACACAGCCAGCATCACATATCACCGCATCAAAGTAACAAAACATTAAATCAGAGCCTTTCCTTGTCTCCTCTCTTCCATCTGCCATCCACCTTCCGGCATGGCAACAGACATCTTTGATCATTTTCGGCATGTTGACCATTGTCAGAAGGCAACAAAAATTCTTTTCTTTTTCAAAATCAGGCGAAAAGTAATGCGCGCGCTGATGTCATCCATAAAAATTACTTGCTGTGGCCTTATAAATGAATACAAGATTAACTAGCGTATACACCACCAATAAATGCATTCGTCCACTTTTTAAAATATTTCCAGAACGATTTTGATACTTCTGAAATGCTGTAATATAACGATGGGGTGGTCTTTTCTATTGTATATCTCTTAGATTTCAAGAGATATTATTAGATGTCACATAAAAACTACATACATACAGCAGTTTCATGTCTATCAGATGTCGTATCTTTTACTTACATTTGTCGTACGATTTTGTCGGTTTGGCTTTACGTTAGGCAATGACAGAACCGACTGCCAGCAGCACTTTCTACGACAACCAATTGTTTTACACATCCACGACTGTTCCAAGAATGTCATTTATTCCCTGTCGTAAATCTGTCGTGTGGTGGATGTGATTAGACCCCATATGCGGATATTAACTTAAGGCCGTCATTGTTTATTTATTTATTTGTTTGTTTGTTTGTTTGTTTGTTTGTTACAGTGCATCATCCTGCAGTGTTATGATAAGGGAGGACGGCACGACAACCATTACAACATTCAACAACTGTTGACAACATACAAACATAGGAATAACGTTCAGCAAACACAGAAAAACTCCGGCAAATGAATCTCACCAAACATGCGATTCTATATTACGATATGACTAAAAGATATAGCTAAAATTGCCGAATGCCAGCCTTTTTGGGTTTAGTATGCTCTCTCTGTCGCTGCCCTACCAAAACGTCTGGACGTGCACATATTCTATTTGTCGGTCATTTGACTGTTTGTTCAGAATTTGAACAGCGTACAGGCAAGCTGATTGGCCAAACCTTAATGGCGGCATGGGGTCATCCAATCAGCGCTAGTTACGTGACTTCATCATCACTAGAAGTATTTTCAATGGTTTATTTGCATTAAAAACACAACAACACTGTCCCAAAAATGGCAGCCAGAGGCTGAATTGACATCAGGACATCACATAAACAGTATAAAACGAAAATGCCATATTAAACAATTTAAAATAGCAATAAACCATTACACAAAATGTATATAGAATATTGTCAGCAAAGTAGAAGGATAGAATATTTAGAATATAATATGTGCGGGCCCAGTCTTTTTGGCAGGGCAGCGACCGGGAGAATGTACTTAATAAAGACAAAAAAAGCTGGAATCCAGGCTATAGCAAAAAGGAAATACTGGGTTCATCTTTCCAACGGACATAATTGCACAATAATGTATCGTTCATCTAACACCATCGAATGAAAAAACAATCATTTACATGTATCAAGCAAATGTTCTAAATAAAACTTGTATTAAATAATTTTATGTAATTCAACGATATGTGATGTACTGTTTTTAATTCATTTGCAACAACAGGTCGATTTTCTTTCATCACCATCAGGTCATGAATTCCTGGAAATAATGACGCAATTGACACAGAAAGAACGTGTCCTATAGAATACAATATAAAAGAATGCACAATGCCTATCGTTGAGGCGAGTATGTTTTAACTAACTGCAGTTCTATTACAACTACAGTGCGTCCCAGGCACAGCCCGCCGTACGTGCTTTTTGTCCGTACGTTTTTTGGGAGGCTGCGTCTGCTACGTTTTTTTCTGAAAACGTAGGGAAGGAGTGGCGTCGACGCACGTCACTCGCACGGTTGCGCAAGGTGTAAGAGTGTGGTCTGCACGTTACGTCTGGCCGTCTTGCGTGCATTGTACGTTGCGCAAGTGGTAAGTTTGTCCACGTTTTTGCACGTAGACAGCACGCAGAAGCACGTACGGCGGGTTGTGATCGTAGCTTATAGAGGGTACTGTCAACCGTACTCTGTCCCCGAGTACTTTGGCTCTTATCAGTTCCACTGTTATCAGAGTAAGTTCCATGTTTCCGTATTTGAGATAAGTATATTATCTACGGTCCGGTTTGTCTAAACAGTGTACATTAAAAGGTCCCCTGCGTCGTGAAATGTTTGGCAGAGAACAAACTATGACATCTGTTACTTCTCACCGACAGAGACGAGGGTGCCGGAGTATACAGTGCAATTTTACGGAATACAGTGCAATTTTATGGAATACAGTGCAATTTTACGGAATACAGTACAATTTTACGGAATACAGTACAATTTTATGGAATACAGTGCAATTTTACGGAATACAGTACAATTTTACGGAATACAGTACAATTTTATGGAATACAGTGCAGTTTTATGGAATACAGTGCAATTTTATGGAATACAGTGCAATTTTACGGAATACAGTGCAATTTTATGAAATACAGTGCAATTTTACGGAATACAGTGCAATTTACGGAATACAGTGCAATTTTATGAAATACAGTGCAATTTTACGGAATACAGTGCAATTTTATGGAATACAGTGCAATTTTACGGAATACAGTACAATTTTACGGAATACAGTACAATTTTATGGAATACAGTGCAGTTTTATGGAATACAGTGCAATTTTATGAAATACAGTGCAATTTTACGGAATACAGTGCAATTTTATGGAATACAGTGCAATTTTACGGAATACAGTGCAATTTTACGGAATACAGTACAATTTTATGGAATACAGCGCAGTTTTATGGAATACCAGTGCAATTTTATGGAATACAGTGCAATTTTACGGAATACAGTGCAATTTTATGGAATACAGTGCAGTTTTATGGAATACAGTGCAATTTTATGGAATACAGTGCAATTTTATGGAATACAGTGCAGTTTTATGGAAAACAGTGCAATTTTATGGAATACAGTGCAATTTTATGGAATACAGTGCAGTTTTATGGAAAACAGTGCAATTTTATGGAATACAGTACAATTTTATGGAATACAGTGCAATTTTATGGAATACAGTGCAGTTTTATGGAAAACAGTGCAATTTTATGGAATACAGTGCAATTTTCCTAGTGTACTGTGCAAATTTTAAGTAATACAGTACAATCGTATTAGTATACAGTGCAATTTTACTAGTATACAGTGCAATTGTAATAGTAAAAATTGCTAAAACTACTAAAACGATTGAACTGATTCCGTAAAATTGCACCGTATACTAATACGATTGTACTGTATTCCGTAAAATCGCACTGTATTCCATAAAATTGCACTGTATACTCTGGCACCCCTGAGAGACCTCTAATATTGTCGGTGTCCGATAAACGAGGTCCGGATCTTCTTTCTAACGACGCTGAGACGACCTCTTCCCCACTGAGAACCGGTTACAAGCGTCGTGCGATCGTCGTACGATTGTAAATTAAAGCCATTCTTGGGGCAGTCCTGCATATGTCCTGCAAAATTCATCTGTCTTGTTACGGACAAAAAGCTACCCTATATCCTTGTCGACGATTGGCTCAGCCTGCTTGAAAATCTACGGCATAAAAATAAATGTTACCGTGTCTTTAACAAGCGACGTTACGTACTAATTAAGCTCATGTTTATTTGTTTATTTTGATTTTTCACCAAGTTAAAGGGAGGGCAAAACAGGTGTATACGCACCTTTACAAGTTGCCCCCCATACAAAAACACATATACAACATCAAAATTTACATAGTCAATAACAACAATTATAGCAATACACAGAATAGGTAATCGAAATAGAAGGTTAAGCATAATTCAAATATATCTAATAGAATGTGTTGAAACAAGTCTTAGTGCGGTCTAGAAGCAATGCAAGAACTACACCCACAAGACGTGATCCAAGTACCGATCTCCATTAGTTTGTACAGACATGAGTTGCCATACATACTATTCTTCCAGGAGTCGTTTAACTACATACTACTATTGTAACAACATGGTAATGCTTATAACTACAACTACATAAACACACACAACATGCAAATTGTACCGAGAGGTCAGAGGTCTATTATAAGATTAAAAACATTCATATTAAATTTTACACTTTGTCGACATTTCTACTACCAACAATATTGTAAGGGATTGGAGGTGTCCACCATAGTTTTTAGCCATTCCCGGATGTGTTCCTTAAACGATGTAGGTGCGGATAGTGTTGTGGAAGTGCGTTATATGATTTAGTGCAGCGGTACAGAAATTTTCGTTTGGCTGAGGCTGTTCTTGGTTTTGGCAGTCTGAAGCCCACCCCCCGCCCCCTGCGCTAGGCGTGTATTGTGTTGGTGTGTAACTGTCTGTAATCGTTTGTGGATTGATCCTGGCTTTTTGGTTGTGAGAAGTTTCTTGAACATAGCCTGAACCTGTCAGAACTTGTAGGGTTGGTTGGTGTTCGAGAGGGTGGGCCATGGTTGGGGACTTATTGGTTGGTGGTTGGGAATAGGTCCTCAGTGATCGGGACGTGGTTGAGAGTCATTACGAGTTGGCACAACGAACTCGCTGTGGTGGGCAAAGGACAGTAATTCGCACAGGTGCAGAGGTCCTATTTTGAATAACCATGATGATTGTATCCAAACCAAATGTCTTTTTTTAATATTGTGTGTTGATATATATTAGCAGTTTCCAGCTGGATGTTTTTTTTTTCATATCATTGAAAAATATAACTTTAAGGCTTGTTTGAGCTACCCGTTAGAACTCAAAAGTTGTCTACACTCAAAAGTATCAACGCTGTCGCCATTTTGATGACGTAAGTTGAACCCAGTGACTGTGCATAAACGTAGCCTCCATAGCATGCCAAAACTGGGGGTTTTGGGGGTCTTCAGGGTCTTTGGGACCTTTTAGGTGATTACATGAAGACAACATGGCCGGCCTGGTTGAATAAACCCCGTTTTTTGACCAGAAAACAGCTGAAGACCACCAAACCCCCAGTTCTATAAGCCTGCTACGGATGCTGGCATAAGCTAAGGTCCCAATTGGGAAAAGGGGCCCTGGCGGGTAGTTCCCGAGCTGTTTTTTACCACTTTCGGACGGGACCCCGACGTGGCCCCGCGGGGCACCCTGCGGCTACCGGGCTGTTTTTTGGCCCGTCGGGGCCCCGATAAGAATTTAATTCTGAGTTAAATTCTACCCGGGCCCCGATGACAAAAAGACGCTGTGACCTCATCGTGAGAACACCGAGAGGTACCCCTCCGGTTGCCGGCATTCCACCGGGACACATTTCTTACGTCACAGACCAGATGAACAGAATAAAGGTGTGTACTTCGTAAACCCGGGTAAAATGGGTGACCTCACAGATCAAATGATCATAACAAATACGTGACTTCTGCATTACGTATAGGTCAATACAAGACATCGTCAGAGAATCTGCCGGGTACCTGCCGGGTGCCTGCCGGATACCGACCAAAGAGGGTGACAAAATTTCTAACAAAATGCTACTGAAGGAAACTTTTAATTGTGACCACGACAGCCGATGCCCGCTCGACTCCTGAACCCGGCCGGGGCCAGCCGGGGCTACATCCCCGACGGGCACAGGCGTAATTGGGACCTTAGCTATAAACGTGCTTTAGCGCTACGGTCCAAAGATTTGTATCTTTGAGAGTGTGCGCATTATCAATACATCAATCATTATTCATAATTAGCAGACCTTTGCAGTGACACTTCAACGGAAGTAAAGCAGGTCAATATGTTAGTTAGGCCACACCATCTTAATTTTATGGATGACATCCAGTGAAGACCCCCAAACTTGTGCGCGCGGGCGAATAAAATAAAAATCCGGACAAAAATAAAAGTGCTACTAAACCACAGGAATACAAAGCTGGTATTGTGAATTTGGGGCAGAACATAGAGACATATACGACAAGCCTGCACGTGCACATGCTGGCTTTTTGTGGAATTTATGAATCGACACTGTACGTATGTACTGAGGTCTTGAGTCCTGGAGCTTCGGTAGCCTGGATGCCATCCCCCAGAGTTACCACCAGCTCCGTATTGTCGCTATATGGCAAGCTACTATATATATATGGACTACCCAGGCCTAGAGCCAGCCTCGGAGGACTTATTTTTTTAGAACAGGCGAAAATCAATGCGCGCGTGGATGTCATCCATAAAATTAAGCCGGTGTGGCCTTAGAAAGCAAACAAAGCAAGGCCGGGTCGGGGCAGGTGGACGCACGTCTACCCGGCCTGTGCCTGTCACACTCGGGACAGTGTACTGGGAGAGAAGACCCGAGAACTTCAACTTGCAGAAACATGCTGTCCTTTCTGGCTCTCCTTTTGACGTGCCATGGTAAGTTAATACATTATAACCACATTTGAAATGGCTGGAATGCAAAAGGAAACTTCTGGAATATAGTGCAAATTTAGAAGTAAGTAGCAATTTTACCAACTACTCACAGTAAATACCCGTACGTAATTCATTGTTGATTAAACTAAGAAATTGTAGTATATTTGATTAACAATAAGATCCACCGTGTCCAATTGAATTGCACCGTACTCGGTTAAATTGTACCTTATTCGGTTACATTGCACCATAGTTGATTACATAGTCCATTGATTGGTCATATTGCACTTTGTTCGGCGCTCCTTGGTCATTATTTTTTTAACTTAGCTCACTTTACTTCCTTTCCTTTTCTCGGAACGTCTTTCATCTATCATTTTTTTTTACATTCCAAAATGTAATCACAAGACGTAGTGACGGCACACTCAAGTTTTTTCAACTTATATTAATGCCACCACCAACACAGGGGACAATACAATACTCATTTTCACCTGAGTTAAGCGAGGAAAGTCGTATAAAGTGCCTTTCCCAAGGACACAAGATCGGTGGCATGTCAGGACTCGAACCCTGGGCCTCTTGGTTCAGAGTCGAGCACTCTGCCGCTACGCCACACGACCCCACTATTTCATCTATCATTATCTTTCATCTATCACTTCTATTCTACCGTGTGTTTTCCATGACCAGTGGCCCATGGAGCAGAAGTGTGCTATGGCGACCTGGGCTGTTTCTCTAACATCGCCCCGTTCTGGGGACTGAACCGGCCGCTGTCGGCTCTGCCTGACGCCCCTGACGTCATCGGGACCAAGTTCTACCTGTACACCCGCGCTAACCCAACTATGGCGCTCAGGGTTAGTCTTTATCAACTGCAATGGAATTTTTAAGCAAGAATAGAACTAAATAGTTCTAAATAGACACAACTAAGTAATGCTATTTTCAGCCAATATGTTACAAAACACGTTATTCGCACTCCAGTAGGTAATACATAGGCCGTACTAGTATACAAAGTTGACTGACCACTTAATGCACTAGAATGTAAATATCCACATCCGCATCCTTAAACAGTTTGATAAGTCAATATAGTTTTCTTATAATTAGTTTCACAACCATATATTTCACCGTGCCCACAATAAGATATACGGTTGTGAAACTACGGAAACTATGTAGAATCAGAATGGCGTGATCATATGTATATTTCAAGTGTCTAACAAAGCGGTTCTTAATATAAAGTAAACAAGAAACGGTTTTAAAAAATATGCTGGTCGGTGGCTAGCCGGGTAATGCTATTAAAGGTCACATTTCCAAACCGGGGCCTGGCATGAGCACTAATTGTGTATACTCTTAATACAAATTGTTTATTTTTCGTTCACGCAAACAACCCGGCCGGGCCCCGTCTTGGAAATGTGACCGTGCCCTAATGCTTAGGTCACATTTCCGAACCGTGGCCCGGCCGGGCTGTTTGTTTGTTTGAACGAAAAATTAACAATTCATATCAAGAATATAAAGAAATAGTGCCCTGCCCATGATTGTTACTAAGAACTTTTCTGCGTTTTGTTGTCTTTCATATCGTATTTTTCGTTCCAAAAAGCTGCCCGGCTGGGCCCCGTGTGGGAATTGTGACCTCAGCATTATGCTTTGTTTTCATTTATATGGTAATTTTATCCGACATCCGACATCCAACCATCCAACCATATGGGACGAACGAAGAACGTAACGTGATATTCAGTAAGGGGTCTTAAACCACATTTGCTCTTGTGGGGCCCCTGGAAAAATCAGAAACTAGACAAACTAAGGATATAACTACTCTTGGTGTTGTTATGTTTGTTGTTAGGAACGTTTGGTTGCCGGCTCGCTCTCCACGTTTTCGGCATCGCACTTCAGCACGGCCAGGCCGAATATGATGATCATCCACGGGTTTACCCACAGTGCACAGCACGACTGGGTCCAGGTCATGGTAGATGAACTGCTGAAGAAGGTAGGTCATAGATTCTCTTCGGGAGATCTCCTGGATACTTTCATTGATAGGAAATACAGAAATCACTAGAAGGAGATTCCTGGGGGGATAACCCCAACAAAACTACATGACATTATAATTATAACAAAAGATTAAAGATGAACTAACAAAGGTCAACTAGAAATAGATAAACTTATCGTGAACAAGACGAAATCGTAACTAACTCATCAACAATCAAATGAAATAAGGTAACATAGAAGTAATTATAATCGTTCAGATATCAAATCATAATGGTAGATAGTCAAAAGGTATGTAAACTTAAAAGTAAATAACTAAAAGTGTAGTTTGAATATCAATGGAAAGAAATATAAATAATCAAATCAAAGAGGCGTGGAAAGTCAAATAATGTGTGGATTGTTGCCTTGTCACTCCGCAGGAAGACGCTAATGTGATCACGGTGGAGTGGTCAGAAGGAGCAGAGCTGACGGGGTCTTACGAACAAGCCGTGGCCAACACCCGGGTGGTGGGAGCGCAGGTCGCCGAGCTCGTCAACTACATGGGGACGTACGACGTGTCCGGGCCGGAGTCTCTGTCGGGGCAGAACTTCCACCTCATCGGCCACAGTCTGGGCGCGCAGATCGCAGGGTATGCCGGGGACATTCTGGGCAACCTTGCGAGGATCACGGGTAAATAGAAAACCGTTTCACGGATCATATAATTATTGCATGCTGGGAGACGAGGTGACACTATGGGAAGTGCAGGTCATTACGATGTCAACAGCAAGTAGGCATCCCTACCCATACAGCCCCGCGTCTCCGAGTATGCAATTGAATACATCTAACGTAAACGAAGCAATCAAACACATGATACCGCAGGAAGTACTACCGATGTGTTAAGGTGTCCTCACTGGCTAATTTGGCATCGTTTTGTCACAAAGAAATTTAGAAAGAACTGAAGTTGTACTAAAGATTGATACCTGGTTACAATGAATATGATTTTATGGACCATATCGATGTTTTCATCATATTTTATTGCCCCAAATATATAATTATCTTTAAAGTTATAATACAGCACATAAAAGTATGATTTTCATGTGCATAATGGTCAAGGCTACAAATGTACGTTTGCACAAATCTATATCTACTAATTACCCCCAATAACTAGATTTTAATTAGGCTCTATAATAACTACAAGAGGACACAGATAGCAGGATACAGTTAGAGGGCCTGCCATATATCATATATGAATGTACTTGAGTAGGAATAAACAGAGCAATAGTTTGTTAGGTTAGGCCATGTGGAGGTAAACATTATACATTTTCTTCCTTACCTTTCTCCTCCCCGCGTGTTTCAGCTCTTGATGCCGCCGAGCCGTACTTTGACGGGATGGACGCCGTGGTCAGGCTGGACCCGACCGACGCTCGCTTCGTGGACGTCATCCACACCGACGGGTCCCCGTTCATCGGTACGCTGGGGATGGGGACTAACCTCCCCATCGGCCACGTGGACTTCTACCCGAACAACGGCATGTACCAGCCCGGATGTAACGACAACGTCGTGTCAACAGTGGTCGCTACCGGAGTCGGGCTGCTCACGGATGGATATGACGGTCAGGCAGCGACTAGTTTGGTTAGAGTAGAAAATAGCGTGGATAGACAGACTACCCCTATGGGATTTATTAAGTGAGTGAGTGAGGGAGTTAGTTAGTGAGTTAGTAAGAGAGTGAGTGAGTGAGTGAGTGAGTGAGTAAGTGAGTAAGTAAGTACGTGATTGAGTAAGTGATTAAGTGATTGAGTAAGTGATTTAGTAACTGAGTGAGTGATTGAGTAAGCAAGTAACTGAGTGAGTGAGTGAATGAGTAAGTGATTGAGTAAGCAAGTAACTGAGTAATTGAGCGAGGGAGTGTGTGTGTGAGTGAGTGAGTGAGTGAGTGAGTGAGTGAGTGAGTGAGTGGGTGAGTGAGTGAGTGAGTGAGTGAGTGAGTGAGTGAGTAAGTGAGTGAGTGAGTGAGTGAGTGAGTGAGTGGGTGGGTGAGTTAATGAGTAGGTGATTGAGTGAGTGGGTGAGTGAGTGAGTGAATGAGTGGGTGGGTGGGTGATTGAGCGGGTGATTGAGTGAGTGGGTGAGTGAGTTAATGAGTAAGTGATTGAGTGAGTGAGTGATTGAGTGAGAGAGTGATTGAGTGATTGAGTGAGTGAGTGAGAGAATGAGTGAGTAAGCGATTAAGTAATTGAGTGAGTAAGTGGTTGAATGAGTGAGTGAGAGAATGAGTGAGTAAGCGATTAAGTGATTGAGAGTGATTGAGTGAATGAGTAAGTGAGTGAGTAAGTGATTGATTAAGTGATTGAGTGATTGAGTGAGTGAGTGAATGAGAGTGAATGAGTGAGTGAATGGGTGAGTGAGTGAGTGAGTGAGTGAGTGAGTAAGCTTAGACTATCTAAATATTATCAATAGCTTCCTCGTACCGGTACTGTGGCAGAATGAATCACTGATTCTACCAGATCAAGTCTCTACTCTGATATATTTTCATATATACTACATATAACGAATGAATGTCAGTTCTATATCCCCAACCCATGTCCTGTCTGTACCTTCCCTTTTGTGTATCCAGGTGCTGAGGCAGCTTTGGCATGTAGTCACCTGAAGGCCCTCGACTTCTTCACCGAGTCCATCAACTCAGAATGTCCCTTCACGGCCTACCCCTGCGACAGGTAGGAATGAATGAATTGCTTGATGGATGAATGAATGACTGGATGAATGAATGAATGAATGAATGAATGAATGAATGGATGAATAAATGGATGAATGAATGAATGAATGAATGCATAAATGAATGAATGAATGAATGAATGAATGAATGAATGAATGAATGAATGAATGAATGAAGCTTTATCACTGTGTCTTGCACTTTTAAAACACGCCAAGCGGTGGGCTTATATAAGGCATCAATAGAATATCCAAGAGTCCAGAGACTGAGGTACAGATATAATCAACTAAAACTGAACAAAATAATTTGAATGAATGAATTAACAAAGTAAATAAGATGCTATGTAGGTGTACAGAGATGAACAATCCTTCAACTTGGATGTCGAATCATAAATGCAAATAAACAGAATCTGTAAATAAAAATGCGGGGTTGTGTGGCGTAGCGGCAGAGTGCTCGACTCGGACTCAAGAGGTCCAGGGTTCGAGTCCTGACATACCACCGATCTTGTGCCCTTGGGAAAGGCACTTTACATGACTTTCCTTACTTCGCTCAGGTGAAAAGGAGTATTGTATTGTTCCCTGTGTTGGTGGCGGCATTAATATAAGTTGAAAAAAACTTGAACGTGCCGTCACCATGTCTCGTGATTACATGTTGGAATATATAAAAGAATGATAAACAGAGAATTCACAAAACACTGCTTATCACCGAAGAATTGATGTCACTTGTCTTGTTTGAAAATTTCTAAATTCCAAGATCAAACTATGACTGCAAAGTTTCTATTGAAAGGCGTTTTTTGCAGGTGTTGATCCGCGCTACAGCTCCGTTATTGTAGTGTAATCATTGCAGCAGGGGACTAGTACTTATACCTCCATGAAATATATGAGTTTTTGTAAATGTTTTTACACAGTACACTACAGTACAGAACAAAATAACACAGGTTTTTGTTTTCAAAAACACAGCTAAATACAGTAGCACCTTTGGCCTGAAATAGGTCAGGCTGTAATAGATATGGTCAACTGTACATGTAGTCTATTGCAAAGGGAGAACCTCATTAATCAAATCGGTAGGCGCGCTGCCTCCACATGTGTTATGCGTTAGAGGAACTCTTTGACAGCCGGTGTTTTGTTGCATAACCCGCACATCTGTTTTCCCTTCCTTGCAAAAGATACAAAATCCGGAAGTTCTGCTGCAGTACCAAGGTCAGCCACCAGGAGGCCCATATTTGACCTGATGTCCTTTGTCTTTGAAATGACTTCGAACTCACGACATACCTAATGAAAGGCGAACACTTTACTCACATGGCCATTGCATTGTCTACTATGTAAATCTGTTCTAACGTTCTTCCTCTTCAGCTATGACAAGTTCACCCAGGGCTTCTGTCTGAGCTGTCCTAGCGCCAGTAGCTGTTCCCAGATCGGGGTTCGCGCTAGGGACCACTACGGCGCCCGGGGGTCCATGTACCTGATGACCACCGACGGAGCCAACGGAAAATACTGCGGTATATAAACTGTTGTGTCCCACACCATGCCTGTCCCAAACCGTGCCTGTCCCAAACCGTGCCTGGGCGGGCACAAAACGGGACACAGCCTGACTGTCCAGAACCGTGCCCGGAAGTGCTATCAATCATAGTGATTGGCGGTACCAGGCACGGTTGGGGACAAGGCCATCGCGTGTCCCGAACTGTGCTCAGTACCCGGGCACGGTTTGGGGCACGCACCGGGTGTCCAAAACCATGCCCAAGCACGGTTTGGGACAAGGCATCCGCGTGTCCCGAACTGTCCTCAGTCCCCGGGCATGGTTTGGGACACGCGCCGAGTGTCCTAAACCATGCCCAGGCACGGTTTGGGACAAGGCACGGTTCGGGACACAACATAAATTTACGATCTTCGTTAGGGGTGTAGAAGTATGTATACGTATGGACCATATATTTTGTACCATTTTTCTGTTTTTGTTTGTTTGTTTTTGTTTTCTTTTACGAAGTAGGTTGAGTCAATGAAACCCTACTCCATTACAAATAAGTACGATTTTGGAAGTGGAGGTACCAAATATGATGCCTTGTGAGCGTGATAAAAGTTCGAAACACAGCTATTTTGTTTCTATTGTGGTGTTTTGTGGTGGTGACACAGTACGAGTGCGCCTCGTGTAGGTTGAATCAGCTACAGCCATAAATGTAAAAATGTGAGATGGTGACACAAAGATGTTGAAAAGTGAATAACAATAGCACAAAGATTTTTTAGATTATGATATTTACAATTTGTGGTGCATAAAACCGACTGTCTAATGGATGGAATAGGGATGTACAAAAATATTAGTAATGCCTAACAACATGGATATTCTTATCTTGAAAGTTCATCTGTGTTGGTAGAAATCATTATGAAGCAAGTTTAAACTGTAATTTCCAACACAACAAATTGAACTCACCCAAATTTTCGACTGTACAACTCCAGTCTTTGTCATGGAATGAGCAATCCTTTCGTCCAGAGACGGGGGGCGCCACAGATTTTCTGCAACCTATGATCCACTGCTCACGGAGTCACGTGTGTTATCTGCGTGAGGTCACGGAAGCGGTGGATTGCTCATTCCTTGACAAAGACTGGAGTTGTACAGTCGAAAATTTGGGTGAGTCCAATTTGTTGTGTTGGAAATTGCAGTTTATACTTGCTTCATAACATGGATCTTCATTTCGCACAGCTTACCACTACAAGGTGCAGGTGACGTCATCCAGTCCGATGGCGGCGGCTGCCGGCCGGATATACGTCACGTTCCAGGGTCCGAGCGGCATCACGGACTCCATGGAGGTCACCACGTACGTCATACAGACATGAGCAAACACTTAGGTCACACCTAATTTTATGGATGACATCCTCTCAAGACCCCCAAACTAGTGCGCGCGGGCGAATAAAAATAATTCCGGCCAAAAATAAAAATGCTACTGAACCACAGGAATACAAAGCTTGTATGATAATTGTGAATTTGCGACAGTAGATAGTAACGTATACGACAAGCCGGCAATACGTACTGAGTTCTTTAGTCGTTGAGCTTCGGTAGCCTGGGTGCCCCGCTCCGTAACGTTGCTAATTCTATCATGGACTACCCAGGTCTACAGCCAGGCCAGAGCCTCGGTGGACGTGATCTTTTTTTTTAGAACAGACGAAAATCAATGAGCGCGCGGATGTCATCCATAAAATTAAGTCGGTGTGGCCATACGTCATTTACATGCAGGGATGTCTGTTAGGTCAACAGCAACTTCCAGCCTATTTGTACTATTTGTACCACTAAAAGAGGTCACATTTTAGCTAACGTGTGTATAAATTCATATCCATATGTGTATGCAGGCATAAACAATACCTATTACTTGCACCTATAGCTAGGTTCAACAACTAAGGCTATCGTCCAACGTTTCCCCCGCATGTCATAGCCGGCTTTACGGCCCCATCCGAAATGAATAGTACAACCCGCCCGAATTGTACCTAAGGCGACAGCAAGTAAATTTATATGGATGACATCAGCGCCCGCATTAAATTTCGCCTGATTTTGGAAAAAAACAAGAAATTTTGTTGCCTTCTGACAGTGGTCAACATGCCAAAAATGGGCAAAGATGTCTGTTGCCATGCCGGTATGTGGATGGCAGATAACTATGAAGAGAGGAGACAAGAAAAGGCTCTGATTTAATGTTTTGTTTCGTACTTTGTACAAATGCTTTTGATTCAGTGGGAACATAACATATACACAGCCAGTCAGAGTCAACACATTTTTTAACCTTGTTTTTTTTTCGGCCCGCCTTGCTTTTATTCGCCCGCTCACATTAGATTTGGAGTCTGCGGAGGATGTCATCCATAAAATTTACTTGCTGTGGCCTAAACGGGGTTTAAGCATCTACCCTCTAGATTCATAAAATTTGAATATATGACAAACGAAACAGCTAGTGCTTACCACTTTGATTAAACACTGGATATTGAGGATTTTCGTATACACAACCAGTACTTCTCTCACCTTGCATGGTTACGTTATAATGTCTATCAGGCATCATAGCTTCTGACTGGAGTTCTGCTTCTCTCCGCTTTACATGTAAGCGATGTTGGAGGTACGTGACAAAAACGCAATCCCAAACCTGATTCATCGTGAATGTGTGACAGTGGCTTTAAAGTGCTCATGACACCAAAATGACTTCAGCTGATTTTAATTGGCATAACTAGTATTACCTGGGTAACAGACACATTTGCAATAAATGTGCACTGTTCTCCGGCTACATTAGAAATTTTAATGCCCCGCCTTGGGAAAGTCAGCACAAGCCAGTCCTGGTAGGCGATTTGTATCTCCACGGTTTATTTTTTAATGTTTGTACTTTTTTTCCTGAGCTGATGTCATCCAGTAATGTCAGCTCAGTAAAAGGCACAGAAATGCAAAAAATAAAAAAATAAATAAATAAATATGCAAATAGAGATGACCGAAGTGGGCGATTGGGAAGCTTGATAGAGAGTTTCCAAAAAGTCGAAGGCCGTACAAGCGCAATTTCTCATTCATTATGATTGGAACAAACTCCAAGTGACTATATTTTATGTACACTTCCGATATCTGTATGTATTCTACAGACTTTTTTGGTGTCATTTGGTTTTTAATCAGTTTCTCTACGCACTCTCTCTAGTGACAACATGGCGCTGAACGCGGGTGTGACGTACCAGAAGACTGTGATCAGTCCGGAGCAGATCGGTGACGTCACAACGGTTCACGTCCGGTTCGCCCGGTCCAGCAGTCTGTGGGACATCTTCGCCGCCCAGTACTACACCCTCAACAAGGTCACCATTACAGCAGGGGAGACTCAGACTGGGTACGTACAGCAACACTTTCCACACTTCACGCAGGGTACGTACAGCACCATATTCCACACTTCACCCAGGGTACGTACAGCAACACTTTCCACACTTCACTCAGGGTACGTACAGCACCACTTTCCACCCTTCACTCAGGGTACGTACAGCAACACTTTCAACACTTCACTCAGGGTACGTATAGCAACACTTTCCACACTTCACCCAGGGTACGTACAGCATCACTTTCCACACTTCTCTCAGGGTACGTACAGCAACACTTTCCACACTTCACCCAGGGTACGTACAGCACCATGCACTTTCCACACTTCACTCAGGGTACGTACAGCAACACTTTCCACACTTCACCCAGGGTACGTACAGCACCACTTTCCACACTTCACTCAGGGTACGTACAGCACCACTTTCCACACTTCACCCAGGGTACGTACAGCAACACTTTCCACACTTCACCCAGGGTACGTACAGCACCATGCACTTTCCACACTTCACCCAGGGTACGTACAGCACCACTTTCCACACTTCACTCAGGGTACGCACAGCAACACTTTCCACACTTCACCCAGTGTACGTACAGCACCATGCACTTTCCACACTTCACTCAGGGTACGTACAGTGACACTTTCCACATTTAACTCTGGTCCCCTTTTTTGGACATCAGACTAAGTTTGCACGAAAGCTGATAGTAGAATCAGTAATTAAGTTTTTTGTTTTGTTTTTCTTTCATAGCTACCGATTCTGCGCGGGTGACTCCCAGATCAGAAACGGGGAGACCGTGACACTGACCGCTTCAGGAGGGGAGTGTTGAGAAAACGTCTTCGGTCACAAAAATACAGAAAAGAAAAAAATCATCGACTCCGAGATATGTGAAGTAATAAAGTTTACCATTAGTGATGATCACCTGGGCTCTTTCCGTGATGAACATTGAAGTATTTTCTGGGTTTATATTCGCCTATTAAAATATGCTGGTTTCGAACGTGGGTAATAATTGAAAGTTGAGGCTCCCTGTGACATGACAAACACGTCAGGACACGGTATCAGGCAGCCAGGTCTAGACAAGAGCTATTTGCAATTCAAGGCCTTCACATTTGACCTAGCAATTTAAACGTGCGTGCAGTTTAAACCATGAACAGTCTTAGGGGATCCATTCACCAGATTTCCATCCCCAGAATGCATTGCGAAAACAGGGGTCTAAACCTCATTTGCATAGGACAGGAAGGAATCGGAATGATCCTGGTGACGTTTGCTTTTCACTGTGTTTTAAGGTGTTGGGGCATTTTATGCTCAACATTAATTAGATAACTATGGGTCGAATCAACAAACATAGAATGAAGTTTTTGTGTTCTTTTCAACATGTGGTTTGTAACGTTACACGTTACGGCATCAGTATAGCGTTACCACTATAACGTTACAAACAATTCATTTCAAGAAAGTCATTCTCTATTTGTTGTCAGATTCAACCAATAATAATTAAATTAAACTTGAGCATAAAATGCCCCAATACTCGTACCTCAAAACACTGAAAAACAAGCTGTTTAACGTCACCAGGATCATTCCGATACCTTCCTGTCCTATGCAAATGAGGTTTAGACCCCTGTTTTTGCAATGCATTCTGGGGATGGGAAACTCGTGAATTAAGAAAATGTAGTTAGGATATATAAAGAAGTTGAAAATTCACTGATTAAGAAACATAACTTAATCAGGATACTAAATGCTGTGCAATAGCAGGTCGATTTTGCAAACAATTGTTATCAGCAAGCAGCAAAGATGACTTCAGTATAACGCAGTGCATATTTTATTAAGTGCGTATTGACAAACATTCAGTCATGACAGGGGTCTAAACCTCATTTGCATAGGACAGAAAAGCATAAGAATGATCCTGTTGATGTTAAACAGCTTGTTTTTCAGTGTGTTTTAAGGTGTTGGAGCATTTTATGCTCAACGTTAATTGAATTACTAAGGGTTGAAAATGACAACAAATAGAGAATGGATTTTTTGAATATGTGGTTTGTAACGTTATAGTGGTAACGCTATACTGATGCTGTAACGTTCCATGTTGAAAAGAATACAAAAACTTCATTCTCTATTTGTTGTCAGATTCGACCCATAGTAATTTGATTAATGTTGAGCATAAAATGCCCCAACACCTCAAAACACACTGAAAAGCAAGCTGTTTAACGTCAACAGGATCATTCCGATGCCTTCCTGTCCTATGCAAATGAGGTTTAGACGCGTTTTCGCAATGCATTCTGGGGATGGGAATGTTGCAAGGCTCAAATGTTTCCTGAATGGTGACGCGTGCAATTTTTTCCCTTGACTCTGAAGGCGGACTTTGTCATCCAGAATTTACTTTGATTACCTATGATAAAACGCATCATGCGTTTGACATACCTGCAATATCACAAATGTTGGTGGGGGAAGGGGGGTTACCTTCCTGGATCTCATAATCCCTTGCGTACCCTATTTCTTTCACAGTGTCTCCTATATTATGATATCATTTGTTTATTTGTTGAGATTGACAATATTTAAATTTGTGAAAGGCTTGACATACCAGTTGACTATCACCTTTTCGAGATCCCAGACACCATTATGTGTTTTGTAGGAATTTGTTGACCCTTGAACCTCTCTCCTGCATGATGACCACAATGAAAAGCGGCCTGTTGGCCGAATTGTGTATTTTCATCAATAAGAAATAACTTCAAAGTCGACAACCCTACATCGATGCACGTTGTGTCTTCATATAACTTGATTTGTGAAGAAATGAGCTTCAACGTCTGAGACTAAATCCTGTGACGTCATATGTACTATTGCATCACCCTGCGGAACCCGTACGCGGTACATCATGGTACGGAGGAGACTGAGGTCAGACCAAAAATGTCAGAACTTAACCTGCAAATTACAAACGTCCGTAGCAAAGTCCAAACTACAAAGTTCATGAACCTGGCGGTCACCAGTATAGGAAGACACTTTTTACTTCAAAGTTGGTGCAACTACTAATACTTGTAGAGATATGAATGTTGATTGCTTTTAAATCTAGTAAACAAGTTTGTAACAGACATATTGAATGCTGGAATACATACTTTAATTGTATTAGCCAATTCCTCCCGTGAAAAAAAGAGACACTGTCGTAAAAAATTAAGTCCCCCCCCCAATACACACACATACACACACAAACTTGTCATTTGATATATGATATCTGTTGGTCTCATTTGTACGGTGGCCTGCAGGTACAAATTCTTGTAACACTGTTACGTCTAGGTATTCTGACTATGAATATTAGAATCAGAAAGTGGTGTACATTTGTCTACCACCCAGTAGATGTTACTTTCTGTCCCTGACATACTTAGTAGTCAGAATTCTTACATGTCATACTCTAACTGGCAGTGTTTCTATATGTTGTACCTTTCGGCAACAGTACCCGTGTTTGAACCACAAAGGATTTGAATTCTCAAATGTCATTCTCTAACTGACAGTGTTTCTGTTGTACCTTTCGGCCACCGTACACGTGTTTGATCCAGTAAGTTACATCAGACGTTTGAAGGACGTTAGGCTCACGTAACTTCCTGTGCCTCAGATAATGTTAGTGTACATATGTACCCTCTAACGGATGCAAATTTAGGTGGGGTAAAATACTTAGTACATAAAGAACTAAGAACTCTAATAATTCTCTTCCGTAGAACATACACGAATCGGTCGCGATCCGCACGAAATTTGGAAAGGAAAATCATGCTGTTTTCGGTTCTGTCAATTCTCTCGCTGGCCTATGGTAGGTACTGTCATTTTATACATCGTCATAAATATGTAAGACAAAAATGCTAAAATTGTGCAAAGTGTATTCTGGTTTGATATTTTCAGTCACAACGATTTTGATTTGTTTCCCCTATACCGTTTGCACATTTGTATCAATTCCATTTGATGTAGACTTGATATATACACATAACTATAGCTTGTTATAGTAAATTGTTTATTCATACAACAATACGTTGATACCTCTAAAAAAAGTTGAATTTTTCTTTCTACATTAAATTTATCTTACGAACACTTTTTACATTAAAAAAAATCTTACAGTTATACATGTTTTATATGCCTATACATGCTAGAAGCGCTCAAAATTCTACCGTTATTTGACTGATTGGAAAAACACATCCTCATCACATATTACAGTCTTATGTACCATAGTTATATAGCAGTAGATGTCATACGTTATACCTTGTACAGTCGTGTAATAAGGTTTATTTTTCAACTTTCCCAGCTGCCCAGGCGGCAGAAGTGTGCTATGGCGACCTGGGCTGTTTCTCTAACATCGCCCCGTTCTGGGGACTGAACCGGCCGCTGTCGTCTCTGCCTGACGCCCCTGACGTCATCGGGACCAAGTTCTACCTGTACACCCGCGCTAACCCAACTATGGCGCTCAGGGTTAGTCTTTCACATGGGGACATTACATACAACTTAAAGGCAAAACATTATCAGAGCTGTAAAACTGGATTTCTTAAGTCAATTTTCTGCAAAATGTAAATATCAAATATATTTTCTCAACCAGAATATTTTGTGTCGTCGATGAAGGTTAGACATCCAGGTAATACGATACGCCAAAAAACAGTTACTCAAGCAACTGGATATGATTTTGAAAACGTCAGACGTTTCAGCTAGTATCCACTAGCTTTCGTCAGTGACTGAGAGACCAGAGGGGAAAGCAGGTTTATAAACACAACCTATTGATTGATATGCAAATAAAGTGAAGACAAGTTTTTGGAAGTCGAAAAAGGAACAAAAGTCAGACAAGTCAAGACCGTGAAACACGCTGTTAAAGAGGCAATATATGAAAGAATGTACAACCCCACCCTCAACAGGGAAGGGGGGCTACGGGTCGATCTTTCCGGCATTTGAGATTTGGCACTCCCAGCCCCGAGGACAGACAAAACTTAAGCTCCTGTTCTGTATAACAGGAGCTTTCAGACCCATTTGCATCATCTTGTCTTGACTTGTCTGACTTTTGTTCCTTTTTCGACTTCCAAAAACTTGTCTTCACTTTATTTGCATATCAATCAATAGGTTGTGTTTATAAACCTGCTTTCCCCTCTGGTCTCTCAGTCACTGACGAAAGCTAGTGGATACTAGCTGAAACGTCTGACGTTTTCAAAATCATATCCAGTTGCTTGAGTAACTGTTTTTTGGCAGAATATTTGTATTGGCGCCTGAAATTACATTGCATGCTTTTTACACCGAGCGACAAGCTAGCATCACAAATAACCTATAAGCTAATTATCATCAAGATTCAATGTAAACAGTGACTATATTATAGAAGACCTTAAATCAACAATTGACCGGTGCAATAGCTCAATTGGTGGAGTGCTCGCTTTGTAACCGGAAGGTCGTGAGTTCAAACCCCGGCCGGGTCATACCAAAGACTTTAAAAGGGGTACACACTTCTTTCTCTGCCTAGCGCTTAGCATATATGAGAAAGAGTGTGGGAAGGTCAAACACACAGCACTACCAGCGGACTAGCCCCCTGCTGTAGTGCCCTGCACAACTGTGTGTCGCCCAAGGGCTACAGAAATGGATATGGGCAGCAAAACCCTATGCTCTGCATAGAGCACGGGAGACCAGCTAGCATAACATAACAAATAACCTATAAGCTGTAGTCATAAAGAGTCAGTGGCTATTTTATAGAATATCTTAAATCAACCATGCCTCACAGATCTCTGTGGAGTATAGAAGTGCAACAGATTCGGTTCGACCGTAAAATGAATGAATTATTTGCACAGACGCACATTCGAAGCAGTATCAGCGCGCAAATGCAACTATAACTTACACCGCCCATCAGGGACGACGACGAGTCGTTACACTGACCTAAACCCTGTAGAGATACAAACAAGACAAAATAACAATATCGTTAAACCGTTTGCCTGGCTAAACGACATTGCTTTACGGTTAAAGATTTTGTTTTGACGCTTGGTTGTTTTGTAACTTTATGTATTGTTTAATGTGTTGGTTTCATTGTTTTCATGTGTAACTTGTTGTCACAGGGCATTCCTGAAAATCAGTGTTTTTAAATAGCACTGAGGTCTCTACACTGTTTGAATAAAACAGAACTAATAAATAATAATAATAAATAATGATAATCTAAACTTTGAATGGGTCGTCATATTTCATCTTAGTGTGTATAATTTTCATGATGGTGCGTACAAGTCATGATGGCTTTTTGACAATGTTTATAGTAGGTTTTTTGTGCATCATTTTGTGTCTATACGAAGCTAACTCTTCTTTTCTTTATTCTTTTAAATTTGTATGAAAATTCCATTATTTCGTTGTAAATCGTAACAGGAATATGCACGGGAAACCAGAAAACCTCTAGGTTTATCGTGGGTTTACCCCCAAATGCAATCTATTACTTATGGTCATGGCAATTACAGACCATTGTCATGATAACACACATATAACAGTAAATAACTTAATCCCCAAGAGGATCTTGGCCAGCCAGTATCCGGTTACCATTTGCCACGCTTAGGCTGGCGTTAAGAAATAGACCAGGAAAAAAACTAAAAGATAAACATGCCAAAAATAATCCAAAGCCTAAACCTCCACTTGGAGAGTCATTGATATCAAACCGACAGAAAAGGCAAATCGCAATACACTGTAGATACATACGGAAATAAGAAAAGATGCAGCCTAACAAACTAATTAATGATTGCAGTACCGGTGCAACAAGATTATTATGTTGATTATTGGGTGCAAACACCCAATAATCAATAATCAAGGCTATATCTTTATGTGCTATTTGAAATTTTTTCATTCGAAAAAAAATTCCTCCCGTGACTTTCTCGATAAACATCTTCTACAAGTTCTCCTAAATTTTTTTTTGAGATCGGCACAAATTTGTAAAAATAACAGCGGAAGTCTGATGTAAGACCACCTGGGGTCCAAACGGACCCCAGCCATGTATTTGCACTTTCCTACACACAAAATTGTTCGGATGTCCTCAATATGTCTTGAAGGAAGCATAATTTCTTTAATATTATGCAGTTTGCCAAGTATCCTCAACCTCAGGAATTAGGTCATCAGGTTTTTAGAGGTTTGACAATTTGACAATCATATGAGGTCAAAGGTCAACCCCATGTTCATGCCTGCAGGCCTCATCCAAGGCACTTACAGTTTAAGACGTAGTCAACAGGCACGCCCAACATTTAGCAGAACTAAGCGCCATGAGCAGTCCTTTATACCACGTGCACTGAAGTTGCTCTCTGAACATATTGACTATGTACAGCTGTATAATATGATGTTTTATTCACAATTTTTAAAGCAATTTGTTATTTTAGTGATTGATTATGTAATGTAATGCGTGCAGTGTCATATGTGAAAATTTGACATACTTCATGTCATATGTCACTCATTGTATATACATATGACATGCCAGTCAATTTTAAATAAAACTTGTACTAATACTGAAAAAAATTAACTGTTGAACAGGAACGTTTGGTGGCTGACTCCGTGGCCACGCTGTCAGCATCTCACTTCAGCGCCTCCAAACCCACCCGGATGGTCATCCACGGTTTTACCGGCACGGCTGAGCATGCGTGGGTCCAGACCATCGTGGACGAGCTACTGTTGAAGGTAAGCTGGCACGTCAGCAGAACGTCCTGGTTATCTATCTACTTATCTACGGCCACATGTACAGCAAGTAATTTTTATGTATGACATCAGCGCGCGCTTTAATTTTCGCCTGATTTTGGAAAAAAAACAAGACATTTTGCTGCCTTCTGACAGTGGTAAACATGCCGAAAATGGGCAAAGATGTCTGTTGCCATGCCGGAAGGTGGATGGCAGATAACTATCTAGAGAGGAGACAGGAAAAGGCTCTGATTTTAATGTTTTGTTCCTTACTTTGATGCAGTGATATGTGATGCTGACGGTGTATATGTGATGTTTTTACTGAATCACAACCATCTGTACCATTTTAAATTGTAGGAACCGTGTTTTTTCGGCCCGCCTTGTTTTTTTCGCCTGCTCGCATTAGGTTTGGAATCTGCGGAGAATGTCATCCATAAAATTTACTTGCTGTGGCCTAATAGACACCTGTATAGCTCCTACAGCTACGTTATTTCCAGAGATGCTCAGGAAACAAAGCACAGTAGTACGTAGTAGTAGGCATCATTCCATCTCGAATGTTCGCACTAGTCTGGTCTGGTACAGCTCCAAACTTTCTTAAGGTCACACCAATTTAATTTCTTGCTTCTCGGATCGCCCTGTCCATTTTTGTCTGATTTGCAAAAAAAGTTCTAAATCAACTGCAAAATGCTCGATGACGGACATATTTTAGCCCCAACAGTTGAAGAAAGTCCCTTTCTTCCTACTTCTTCAAGTTTTTTCAATTTAACAGTCTGATTTTGTTTCATTAAAAGTTCAAAATTTATTGTTTTATTATAAACCAGCCTGGTATGTTTACTTCATGGCTCATATTGTAACATTTCCGGCTATCATGGGGTGCCTTGGCCTGTTTTTTTTCGCCCCGCATATTTTTTCTGTAAAAATCCGAGAAACAAGAAATTAAATTGGTGTGGCCTAAGGATGAAAAAAACACAGTCAACAACAAAAACATCAACAACTTCCATGACGTCATCACTACTTGGTGACTCGGTGAGCAGGGATCAAATGTTGCACAACATTTCTGATGACGTCAAACAATATTTAATCCTACGTGGAAGTTTCCTTTTTTTTGTTCTCCGATTCCTGACATTAAATGTACACAAAACTATATTATACCTTTTAGATAATTTTTTTAAGTACCTTGGCCTTGATGAGCTTTTGATAAATTCACGCGATCACGAGTGATGGGTTAAGATTATCATATTCATTACAACACAGTACATTAAAATAATACAATAATCTAGAGACATACAAATAATACAAAAAAACTAGATGCATAGTGAATTGTAATTCTTTCGGAAGAAAGAGTTCCTGTAAAAGGCATCAGATCTTTGTAAGCGAATGATGATTGCGTTTTATAGGCGCCAAATCGATTTCAAGTCAGTAGAGTTGAATTTGAATTTTCAAAGTCATTTTTTTTGGTCATTTTTCTAATGTAGTAAATAGAATTGACCGCAGCCCATACCATCTTGTTCGTCCCTCGTGGTCGAGGATGACCAATGGCCTTGGTTCATCACTGTCTCGGTTGAACCAAGGCCATTGGTCATCCTCGACATGCGGTCAATTCAATTTACTACATTAGAAAAATGACCAGAAATTGAATTTGCTGCATCCTATACCACACTTGTGAGACAAAAATACTAGCCTCCTTCGCAGACTTGTTGGGTATCGGCGTTATGTTTTCTGTGAGCGACGCGGAGAGACGATTTTGCTGCCTTTCGCTTGAAACCTTTTCTAAACGGCAAAAATTCCCTCGGCAGCAAGATCGTCCCTTCGCGGCATAGTCGCGTCGCTCACAGAAAACATAACGCCGACGCCCAACAAGTCTGCAAAAAAGTTACAAAAATAAGATGTCGCTGATGGAAAACGGTTGCTTGTTTTGTATCGTAGGCTGAGTCTAGCTATTTACTGTTGATACCAAAATAAAGGACTTTTCAAGTAGCTCGCCTCTGGGCTGTTTTAAACGCTTCAGGTATGAAATGATGATACAAATAAAGAAATGGCTGTATATGTCAATAACAGACAAATTTCCCCAGAACATATTTTTTGTTTTATTTTTCGGCCCTGGAATTCATATAAGGCCACACCAATTTAATTTCTTGGTTAACGGATTCGTCTGCTTCATTTTTTTCTGATTTGAAAAAAAATTCAGAATCAACTGCAAAATGCTCATATTTTTCCCCGAACAGTTGAAAACAGTCCTTTTCTTCCGAGTTGTTACAGTTATTCCATCTTTCAATGCAGTGGTATCTTTAGAAGTTCAATATTCATTGTTTAAATTTTGAACCAGCTTGGTGTGTTGACTTCATGGCTCCTATCGTACCAATTTGGACCATAATAGGATACCTAGGACTGTTTTCATTTTTTTCGCCCGCCCGCTCCATTATTTTTCTAGATTAATCCGTTAACCAAGAAATTAAATTGGTGTGACCTAATAGGAGGACATCAATGTGGTGACTGTTGACTGGGCTGACGGAGCGTCCATAGTCGGGTCGTACGGGCAGGCCACGGCGAACAGCCGGGTGGTGGGAGCAGAAGTGGCGAAGCTGGTGAACTACATGAGCGCACAGACCGGGGCAAACGCACGGGACTTCCACCTGATTGGTCACAGCCTGGGATGTCACGTGGCCGGATACGCGGGCGACATCCTCGGCAGCGTTGGACGTATCACTGGTAAGTTTATAAAATTAACTGTATCATTCTAAGATCTGTACGAGAGCATTCATAGGGGCATTATGTTACATTTTGCAAAATTGAACTATTTTATTTTACTGTGACAACGCAGTACCTTAAACAAGGACAGGGGGCGTCACTACCTGAAACCTGTAAGTATATGACTGGCTTTTGTCACGTGATTATCACATCAAGTCACGTGAAAAGAGAACTCCAAGACGAGATCTTAATCGGGTTGATGAAGAGACAGAGGACGTCTCGAAAGCTCTCTAACATAGTTGAACTTTCGTTGTGTGTTTATAAATATTTTGTTAAAATTTTATTTCACACTTGTACGATGTAATATTTTGCTACTTCCACTTTCTGAATGACACTAATTTGCAATGATCAGTAAATTAGCTCTAAGTATCGTCCTAATGTTACAAGTTTGAAGTGTCTGCAATCTCTGCTTGCCTCGTGTTTCCAGCTCTTGACGCCTCCGAGCCGTACTTTGACGGGATGGACGCCATCGTCAAGCTGGACCCGACCGACGCCCTGTTCGTGGACGTGATCCACAGTGACGGCTCGCCGTTCATCGGGACTCTCGGCATGGGCACCAGCCTGCCCACCGGACACGTGGACTTCTACCCGAACGGCGGCGAGTACCAGCCCGGCTGCCATGACAGCATCGTCTCCAGTGTGGTCTCCACAGGCTTTGGGCTGCTCACTGACGGATACGATGGTAAGACCCACCTTTTCCTTAATTCAATATAACAACAGCATTGCTCATTTCTTTGCTGAAATAAGCAATAGATACAAATACACTTAAGGGTTCCAGGTGCCGATGTGTATTCTATATTCCATTATCCATTTATCCTATATTCTACATCTATTCTATTGCTATATTGTGGTTTAGGTCAAAGTTAAAGATTCCTTCTCTATCAATTCAATAATTTTACTTGCCTACCGGCTTTTATAAGTAACGTTCTTCTGCCTGACAATCACCTCAAAACACACTTAAAAACAAGCTGTTTAACGTCACCAGGATCATTCCGATGCCTTCCTGTCCTATGCAAATGAGGTTTAGACCCCTGTTTTCGCTATGCATTCTGGGTATGCATTCTCGTAAATGGTTACTCAAAATGGGCCTTCTGGGCCTGGGCCAAATAGTGACCTTTGCCCTGCAAAATAAAGCTGACCACCTGGCCACGGTGTGTGATTGCAGGTGCAGAAGCTGCAGCTGCTTGCAGTCACCTGAGGGCGATCGACTACTTCACCGAGTCCATCAACTCCGAGTGTCCCTTCACGGCCTACCCCTGCGAAAGGTAAAGGAACTATTAGTGAGGTCGTGTGGAGTAGCGGCAGCGTGCTCGACTCGGAACCTTGAGGTCCCGGGTTCGAGTCCTGACATGCCACCGATCTTGTGCCCTTGGAATAGGCACTTTACACGACTTTCCCATGTATTGTCTTGTCCTGTATTTGTCCTCTGCGTTGGTGGCGGCATAAAATAAGTTGATATAACTTGAGTGTGCCGTCAGCATGTCTAGTCATGAAATGTTGGAATAGCCGAAGATGACCTCCCGAATACTGACGTTCGGCGAGGTCGGCTACCGAATGTTTCAAAATGTTTAAAACGCTCGGGTGTCTTCCATTGTTTGGCTGGGGGTTGTCGTGTGTTAGGGAGTAGGTCTTCAGTGTTCGGGGCGTGCTCGAGGGTCAAATATGACTCAAATTTAACTCAAATTCGATTCGTAGGGTAGACATGGCCTACATCTGACCAAACTGCGTCGGGGAAAGTTTAAGAATGCTTTAAGGACCTTTATCCTACCCTCCAGCCATCTGTTGTAAGCTCTATAGTATATACGTAATATGATCTTCACCTCTTAAATGTTTGCTGCAACAGGTTGAATTATTCTTAAAAATCAAAATCAACCCCTGGTTTGCTACCTGAAAAATTGTTGAAATCATGATCACCTCTACTAAAATGTTTCTAGTAACAACACCGCATTGCATTTCTAACTGTGCTTAAGCAGAATGAATGATTTAACGTTTTTTAAGCGCCTAGTCACAATCGTTGTACAGTATTCGTACGACCGCAAACTAAGACATTTATGTGATAGTTGTGATGGTGTAGTACAGAATACAGCTGTCTTGTTACGGAAAAGACTGTCTTATGCCCCTCTTTGGGACTGAAACTGTCATATTTTTTCGACGAATTAGCCTGATTTCTAAACCTCATTTACTGCCGAGACTCTGCAGCTGAAACAGGTGCAGCTGAAACAGGTGGCTGCGCCATAACAAGTAAATACCTCTGTAGTTAAATGACTATCACAAGTAACGGAACGAAACAATAAGCAGTGTTTTCTCAATCATTTTTAGCTATGATAAGTTCAAGGATGGGTTCTGCATGAGTTGTGCCGGGAACACGTGCTCGCAGATGGGTTACCGCGCCCGGGACCACTACGGCACCCGCGGGAAACTGTACCTCACCACCACCGACGGGACACAGCCTGGCGGCAAGTTCTGCGGTAGGTGCTGATTATTGTCATGGTTCATGATTTATGAAAAAACTTAAACTGTTCTCCAACTCAAAATTTGACTCACCAGAAATTTTCGACTGAATCACTCAGTCTTCCTCAGCTATCTGACCCAAATGCTGTGGACACGTGATTTTTCCCACGTGTGACGTCAGAAAAGGGTCAACGGTTATCTGAAGTCGATATCGCCCCCCGTCCCGGTTGAGCGATGGTTAATGATTTATTATGATTCAAATTATTGTTATGATTATTGTTATGACTAATGATTTGAATTATTATGATTTTTGTTATGATCAATGATTATTACAATACAAAATATTGATTTATGATTTAAATTACTATGACTATTGTTATGATCAATTATTTGTTATAATTGAAATATTGTTGAGTATTGTTCTGATCAATGATTTAGTATGATTTGAATCATTGTTTATGATTTTGTTCTGATCAATGACTTGTTATGATTTGAATCATTATGATCATTATTTTCATGATCAACGATTTGTTACGATACAAAGTATTGTTATTGTTATGATCAGTGATTTGTTATGATTTGAATGATTGTGTAAGGAATGGTTCATTGCATTGTAGGCATGTTGTCTTGATATATGAATAAAAAAAGTTCTGCGGTAAGTTGTTTAACGTATATGTCTATGTAGAAATCTAATCCGGCAGAATCAGCGATTCTGTCAACAGAAACTCCGATCTGGATCTCTGATGTACAATCATCGATTCTCAGACCGACAGACAGGGTGACGTCTTGTAAAAGTTCTAACTTAACACTGCCCAACATACCTTAACAGAGAAACATACAGTCACATAACTGGTAGCTAGGCTATTTAGATAGACTGTGCTTGCCATGAAACCGTAACATTTTTTAATGCTGTACGTGTATGATACTGAACATGATTGTACCAGCAGTGATTCCATTGGGATCTTTACTACCGGTAGCATCGCCGATTATACCAGATCTCTACCCTCTATACATTCAACTAGAAAATATATTTTTGCGATGGCTCAGAGGTGAATACATACTTTACAGGACAGCGATAGGAATGTATAATGAATGAAGACCTTTATTGTACACACATACCCACTGGGTTAAGTACAGGTCACAACAAAAGGATGGAATACAGATAACGTTACATATATACATCGTCAAGGAAACTACAATTAGATAAATTAAGTAAATTCGGTTTCTTCGTTTCTTAGTAATGGTAAAAAGGTAAGAACAGGTATGTTTCAATAGAGATTCTTTATTGACACAACAAAAAAGTACAGAGACTTTTGTATGGTCTTCTACAACTATATAGAAGGTTTGTCTAAGCTCATTAGAAATATAAATTCATCTGTACAGTTTAGATGTACAAGGAGGGGAACATAGATTGTATCTGCTCTCTCTTTGTTCTATAGTTTACATTCTATTATGTAATGTATATAGAAAATGTTTATTTTGTTACCTTATATAGCCTACCACTACAAGGTTCAAGTGACGTCATCCACCCGTATGGAGGAGACTGCCGGGCGTCTGTACGTCACGTTCCAGGGACCGAGCGGGATCACCGACACCATGGAGGTCACAGAGTGAGTCTTCAACACGTTATCTGTATCTGTATAGCCGGTATAACCGCCTTTCGGCGTAACACACTAGCTTTGCAGGCACGCGGCGCGGCGGCATTACACCGATCGACTTGTTACACCTAACCCTTGAACATCTAACTCTAGGCACTATTTAAAGCTATCTAATGACAATGCCCCTACTGTACTTGGTGACAGCGAGTTCCACTCTGTGATAGTTCTAGGGAAAAAATGAATTCTTGAAAACCTCAATCCTTGGTTGATAACTCTGGTACTTGAAGGCATGGCTATTTGTTGTTCTCTTCTGGGTTGGTATTAGGTACTTAGTAGTTGGGACGTCCACCAGTTTATTAGTTCTCCTTTCTAGTGATACTGGTGCCTGATAGGTTGCGTTTCAGACTACATGTCAAAATACTGTACAAAATCGACTTTACTATCGTTCGTTACTTGCACAGCTGCGTGGCCCAAGGAGATATAGGCGCCGTCCTATACACATGTACAGCGTGGAAAGGTCTTAATTTTGGATTATATGAATGAGTGAAATACTCAACACAGGCGGCACACATTCAAGATAGATGGAGGAGAGGCATCAGTACTAGTGGCCTTTGCTCCGCATGTGGTCAAGGAAGAACGTACTAGGTACACGCGGCGTGAGATTAAAAATTATCTTGAAAGTTCATCTGTGTTGGTAGAAATCATTATGAAGCAAGTTTAAACTGTAATTTCCAACACAACAAATTGGAATCACCCAAATTTTCGACTGTACAACTCCAGTCTTTGTCAAGGAACGTCACGCAGAGCAGTGGATCAAAGGTTGCAGAAAGTCTGTGGCGCCCCCGTCTCTGTTGAGGGATGGTTGTAATGCCCTGATGTACAGATGGTCTCTTTCATCCCTCATGCGCATAAGAATTAAAAATGAAGGTAAACCTTTGATGACACAATTACCACGCGAGCCAATCAACGCTCCTTTTTACCCCCGCTCTATCTGTTTTAACGGTTCTACTGTATAAGGTAGCAGAACACAGTATTAATGGGCGACCCCCGGGGGTCAATGACGCGGGCATAGAAAGTAGTGCAGAGAATATTCTTGAAGGCTGGGTAGAAAGCCTGATAAGAGGAATGCATCGGGTTTGAGGCTGTATGATTTGAATTGTGAAGGTTTTGCAGTTCGTGTATTAATGCGCCGTATTACGCAACTGGCTTTTCGGGTGAGTGGGCTGCAGTTCAGGTCACGTCCGTGGAGGGCGATTTCAAAGTGTACGTTACGAGCAGATACGCCGACAGGATTTTTTAGTTTCTAGATATTTTGTAGTTTATACCTACACATTCAATTTTCGTATTTGTGACGTGCACCCTACTATAATTTTTACCGCGTCGATGTGAGTCATCTTGGGGTACCGGGTCCTTAACTATAGAAATCCCCATAGGGCGAAAACTGTGTTCTGCTACCATAACACGAGCCTGTCTCCTCCACAGCGGTGACATCATGGACCTGAAGCCCGGCGTGACGTACCAGAAGCTGGTGAGCAGCCCCATGAACATCGGGCACGTCACGAGAGTCAACCTCAGGTTCGTCCGCTCCAGCAGCATCTGGGACTTCTTCGCCGCCCAGTACTACACCGTCGGCAAGGTGACCATCACAGCCGGGGAGAGTCAGACAAGGTAAAGAAAGAAATCTTAAAGGGGCATTATGTAACGTTTTAAAGGGGCAATATGTAACGTTTTTTTGCATAAAAAAAGGAAATATTTTAATTGAAAAGAATATTTGTGTAATATACTTCCCAGTTTTCAACACATTTGTGCAATTATGTCACACCGATATTTATGGTTAGCCCATTCAACACAAGCCACACAAGTTAATGGTACCACCACAAACTACAACATGTCACAATTACACTAACTTTCGGAATGTATTACAAACAGAACAAAATAGCTTAAGTGCACTATGAACTATTTAACACCTTTAGTGCACTATGCACCAAGTAACATCTAGTGTCAGTGCACAGTAAACCAGTCAGAATTGCCCTGATGAAGATGACAGACGGTCATCGAAACGTCGGGTAGTGAAAAATAAATGGCTGTGATAGAAATAACTTTGCTTTTCACTCTTTTACCAGCCTGATGAAATTATTTACGGAATTATCATTGCTATTTAATGGTTTATTCCCTTTTTTCAGCTACAAGTTCTGCGGCAGCGACACCCCCGTCAACGATGCCGAGACTCTACAGCTGAACCACGTCGGCGGCAACTGTTAAAGTCACCATGTCACAGTCAAATATGCATGGAAACATGGGCGGCACAATATGACATAACCATTTCGCTTTGTGGATAGTAAAAATGTATCTGGAAGTAAGAGGTAGTGTGGTCTGTTACTGTATGTCGTTTGTCATGATATTCCAATATTAATACTTTAAGGTACGACAGTATTATGAAGCAAGTTTATACTGTAATTTCCAACACAACAAATTGGACTCAAATTGGACACAAATTTTCGACTGTACAATTCCAGTCTCCAAGGAATGAGCAATCCACCGCTTTCTTGACGTCACACAGATAACACACGTGACTCCGTGAGCAGTGGATCATAGGTTGAAGAAAGTCTGTGGCGCCTCCCGTCTCTGTTGAGGCGGTGGATTGCTCATTCCTTGACAAAGACTGGAGTTGTACAGTCGAAAATTTGGGTGAGTCCAATTTGTTGTGTTCGAAATTATAGTTTAAACTTCATAATGGTTTCTACCAACACAGATGAACTTTTAAGGTACGGCAGGATTGTTTGGGTGGCTGAACATCGGGATTGTGTATCTTTTTGACCGGACAAAGTGAGTTGATAACTCGTGGGTTAGGGGAACATTGACAGGCAGAATAGCAGGAGGTCAAAGGGTCAGACAGTGAACGTCAAGGTCTCAGAACCAGGTCGAGAGCCAGCAGGGATCAGTGGTTGTCATGGGTGAATTCGGGAAGCCATTCTCAGTAGTCTGAAATCCTATTTCTTGTCCCATCATCATTTCGTTCCACAATAGGTCTTACGGGTTTCATGCTGAAGCTAAAGTCTACATAAAAGTCAATATGAAACATTTCTGGCCGAGCAGATATTGAATAGTAGGGAGTTAAGGTCAAACAACAGGTGTGACTAGTGGTGTTCTTACCCCACGGCTCATGACGGCACTAGCTGTAGGGTGTATGCAGGGTTTAGCAAACTTGACGTGAAACAGTGGCATGCATAAGTTGCCCTCCTGTGTTGAGCCAAATCCTTAAACTACCACATACGTGAGAAGTCAGGTGTTTAGAGATAGGGTTAGGGTTTGAGTTAGGGTTAGAGTTGGGATCATTGTTCAGGTTAGACTTACAATTGGGGTTAGATTAGGTTTAGTCTCCTAAATCTTGACGAAACCCTCCCATCCCTTGTCTCAGGTATATTAGAAACCCCCAAGTATTGTCGGAGTCATGTATTCAGCAGGACATGGCTTGACACCGGGCACATTCACCACTGCCGACAATCCATTGTTCACCTCTGTCCTTCAATCCCAAAATGCATCGTTTGGACTCAAAATCCTCGGTTTGCGGCAGATATATTGAAGTTATCCCAGCTGAAAATGACCCCGCAAAAAACAGGCGTGAAATATATAAGTTGTAACAGGGATTTTCTAAAGAGAAAATACGGCAGTGTTTTAGGTTTTAGCTGGTATTGGTACGCTAAGAAAAACTGTCCTAACATCTATTTCACGCCTATTTTTTTGGGGGGGGGGGTCAGTCCATACGATGCATTTTAATTGGGAAAGTGTTTAATTGGTGAAAGCTCACACGTTTGAAAAGAAAGAGCAAATAATAAATCTATTTATTTTTCGTTTAATTTGTTCGCAGCGACTGGTTGCAGGATATATAGACTTTACTGGAAGCAGGCAGTAGCTTATCGTTCCTGTAGCAGACAGAACCCTGGTGTTGTTGTCCCCGGGTCACGTGGTGTTGTTATGGTGTTGGCTCTAGCAGGACGGCAGGCCCATAACAACGTTTTCAGTCAGTTCCGAGTTGAACCCACAGAAGGTCCTCCTAGAGAGACAATAGCATTAGTAGGTCACACTTTGGTAAAACATTTTTATTAAATTTGCTATTACAGTGCAACAACCCGTACGAGTCAAACCTTTCCCAGCTACCTACCTAATAAAAATCATGACGCTACTTCAACCGATTTTTGAGTTATCATTTTCGAATA